AAAAGCCCAAGCAAAGCAACAAGGGCTTCCGATGCATAGAGGTTTGAGATCAGGGTTCAAGTGCCTGCTTAACCATTGAAGCCCACAAGTCACCAGTGATGGCAGAGAGAAAAATGGGGAGAGATCCTGTACCTTTAAAAGTTGTGAAGGAGAGGGGAATTTCTGCTGGTTTTGCTTGTTACCTGGCTGCATGAGAAACATCACCTGCTGAAATTCCCTCTGTTAGCAACCTTAGACGTACAGGAGCCCTCTCCAGATTTAGTCTTGCCACTCTACTTTGAAATCACACTCCATAAGCCTTAGAAGACAGCAATGATCAACCTTATTAGAATAAATTCATCGACTAAATCCCTATGATTAGGTCACAGAGTTGACTTGAAGACCCACAACAGCAGCAAAGAGTTGACTTGAAGACACACAAAAACTGCATTCCAGAAGTCAACCCAAGGCTTACAACTGGCTTGTTTTGCACTTTCAATAGAGGTTAGGTTTGCAGAAATTGTTACTTTATTCAACATGGCAACCTGCAGCATTTTAAATCTCTGCTGAAGAAATGAGAGCAGGCTCTGTTCCAGAACCCCAGCTACACAGGCCATCCTCCCAAATATTCTGACTTGTCCCTCATGGACTGTCAGGTGAGGTGCAGGGCCTCACCTGGCACAAGTAAAAATCACTAGTACATTTCCTCCTATGCACCTTTGGAGTCAGCATGACTCAATTTCCTAACAGGTCACGTTTTACCGGCATTGGTATGTATGAAACAGAAGGTTCAGCCCATGGTGGCACCCTGCTCCTTTCCCTTAGTCCCGTGTTGTTTACAAAGTGAGCATAAGTGAAACACACAGCAATGAATTAATGCAACGTAGTCAGTGCAAGGAAGTGCAGATATTGTGAAGATTATAATAGATTTTTCCTCACCTTTGTCCATGGATACCTGACACTTTAAAGTGCCAAGACATCAGATAACAGAGAAGTAAAAGTATATTTGTTCATCACATTCTTATCCCATTTGTCTTTCAAGGTGGTTAGGGTTATGCACATGCTTTATCTTTATAGCATTTCTCCTGTGAGGTAGGATAGCTGATAGGAAAAAAACCAACTCCCTTGAAAAGTGTTGCTGAAGAAGAAGTCTAAAGATCCTATGGACTGCAAAGGGATAAATATCTGGGCTCTAAAGCAAATGAAGTCTGAACTTTTCCTAGAAGTCAAGATGACTAAACTGAGTCTGGACACATCACAAGAATATATCGTTCATTAGAAAAGACAATGCTTTGCGAGGTGGAAAGCATAGGAAAAGAGGAAGGATGTATTCTAGATAGATTCAGTGGAATTCTCTGCCTCAGAGTGTGGTGGAAGTTTTTTCCTTGGAAGCTTTTAAACATAGGCTGGGTGGCCATCTGTCAGGGGTGCTTTGATTCTGCCTTTTCTTCATGGCGGGAGGGTGGGGGGATGACTAGATGGCTCATGTGATCTTTTCCAACTATATGATGCTATGATTCTATGATTCATCTTCAGCAGTGGAACTCTCTGCCCCAGAGTGTCGTGGATGCTCCTTCTTTGGAGGCTTTTAAATGGAGGCTGGATAGCCATTTGCTGGGGGTGCTTTGAATGTGACTTTCCTGCTTCTTGGCAGGGGTTTGAACTAGATCAGTGGTTCTCAACCTGGGGTCTCCAGATGTTTTTGGCCTTCAACTCCCAGAAATCCTAACAGCTGGTAAACTGGCTGGGATTTCTGGGAATTGTAGGCCAAAAACATCTGGGGACCCCAGGTTGAGAAGCACTGGACTAGATGGTCCACGAGATCTCTTCCAACTCTATGGTTCTATGATTCAATCGGAAAAGCAACAGCCCAGAATCTGCAAGACCTGAATGATAGGGGGACTTGGAGGCCTTTCATTTATGGAGTGACTATTGTTAAGTGTCTTGAAGTTGAATTCAATAGCAATGTAAACTGAGAGATATTGGCTAGTGGTATCACCCAGTGAGCTTCATGGTTTAATAGGGATTTTAACCAAGATCTTCCTGAAAATGATGGAAGGTGCAGTTCAACATTATATGGAAGGCTGCATTTTCCCCTCCTCTGCCCAAGATAAATACAGCATGAAAAGGTTGGTTTAAGGGTATATCCCTGATACAGATCTCCAATCAACTGGAACAGTGAGACATTATTCATGACTTTTGTTTCAAAAGTTAAATAAGAGAACTACTATAAAGTGCTTTGCATCTATTATTCTTGTTTTGTGCTTTCAAGTTTTTTTTACTTATGCCAACTCTATGGCAAACCTATTGTGCAATTTTCTTGGCAAGATTTGTCCAGATGAGGTTTGCTTTTGTCTTTCTCTGAGGCTGAGAGTGTGTGTCTTGCGCAAGGTTGCCCAGTGAGTTTCCAAGCCCTTGTTTAGAACCCTTGTTTCCAGAGTCATAATCCAGTGCTCAAACCACACTGGCTCTTACGAAAGTTATTAATTCTAACAATTAGGGTTGCCGACTACCCATAATAAAAATGGCCTGATTTCTATACAACCTTTGTGAAAGGAACAGGTGCATGCCAGACACTTTTTTTCACCAGGTGGCAAGCCTTTATTAACAATGTACTTCCACCTCAGCTCTAGATATCTCTTTCTGCCTGAAGATCAGCTAGAAATTCTGTGACCCTCCTGATATTGCTGCAGTGCAGCTCCTGACTTGTGGCTGATGGTGGCTCCAGTTCAACAACTTTCATGGGGCCACCTGTTGACCATCTCTCAACTAGAATATATAACTGCCAAGACATTTTCCTGGCTGGACTCTCCCCAAATTTCACAAGTATAAGGGGAGAAGTCAGTTTGTTGTTTCGGGAATCTAAGGTATATGTGTCCCCCGCTCCCCTCATGCCGCTTCAACTTCACATTATCTTATTATGGGATTACTCACCGTGACTGTTTAAACCTCTCTTCTTCCTTGCCACTAGTTTATATAAGGCCACCAGTCACATGGGCTATGAGGGTTCATAGAGAGGCTATGAGTGTACATATAGAGGCAAGGTTGAATTTGCCCTGCGTGCAGCTACTACGGGGAATACCACAGGGTCAAAGACTTCTAATAATTTGTGGCTGGTGTTTGAGAGATTAGAGTTGTACTGGTTGCAGCACAAATGATTTATGGTAACTACATGTTTCTCTGAAATGTTGCTTCACTGTTTCCTTGTGGCCCTCCCACACAGAAGCATTCCTTTCCTTTGCGAGAGATATGAACCAGATACACCCGAGAGCACCTGTCTTCCTAGATGAAGTCCTCAGGTATACAGGACATGCCATGATTGTTACTGTCATACGATGCATCCTTTGCAAACAGGGGAATTATCTCTGAGACAGTACAACACATGGCTCTTATCGGTCACCTGGAAGACATTTCATTAACTTTACTACTTGGGATGGTGCATTAAAGACACTTGAATAAGTAAAAACCATACTAAAGGGCTAGGAACTTTTGAGATTATAAATCGGATTGCCACATTTTATTTCCTGGCAGGGCTGAAGTCTCTTTAAAGGCTACATTTCCCCATCTGGAACCCCTGCATTCTTATTCAAAATGAGCTTTGTCACCATTTGTTTTTATGGTCTCACTATGTCAAAGCCATTCAAAACTCAGCAGCTACTTATGCTACATGTCTTGACAGGGATTGTTGTTATAACTTTATGAGACTTGTTTTATACTTTTGTACTGTTTTCACCTGTTGTATGTTATATGTGCACCCTGGAGTGCCTTGTAAGCTGCCCTGAGTCCCTTCTGTGAGATGGTGGCAGGATATAAATAAAGATTATAAATAATAATAATAATAATAATAATAATAATAATAATAAATACAACCATGTGCCATAAAGGCAGGTACAATAAAAGTATATGGACTTCTGCATAGATATTTTATTCTCAGCAACCCAGCTGTTGCTCCAAAAAGCAATACTACTTAGAGGACGGATCACTCAAGAGATACCAGCAGATTCAGGAAATCTTTTTGACAGCTAACAAGATTGCAAGTGTTGTCCTGAAATACGGTGGCACCATGGCTTCAGGAAAAAGTGGTGTCTGACCCAGAATGTAGAATCACAAAGCACGGGACTGAACAAGAAACTTCCCAAATAAGTTCTCTCTCATACAGCAGGAATCCTCCTGTTAGGACTGGAAGGTGAAATAAGGACGATGCTCCTAAGAGGGAATTTAAGCAGTTGTTGCTTATCATGCAAACAGTACTGGCTGAAATCCCCGCTTCTATATCAGGATTAAAAGTGGAGAAGTTCTGTTCCTTATTTCACTAGGAACTCTCCCTCCAGATGATATCAGACTACAATGCTTATTATTTCTAACCAGTTGATGTATTATCGAAGGCTTTCATGGCCAGAATCACTGGGTCTTTGTAAGTCTTCTGGGCTGTATGGCCATGTTCCAGAAGCATTCCTTCCTAACATTTCGCCTGCATCTATGGCAGGCTTCCTCAGAAGTTGTGAGGTCTGTTGGAAACTAGGCAAGTGAAGTTTATATATCTGTGGAATGTCCAAGGTGGGAGAAAGAACTCTTGTCTGTTGGAGGCAAGTATGAATGCTTCAATTGGCCACCTTGATTAGCACATAATGGCCTAGCAGGTTCAAGGTTTTGACAGACCTCACAACCTCTGAGGATGCCTGCCACAGATGCAGGCAAAATGTCAGGAGAGAATGCTTCTGGAACATAGCCATACAGCCTGAAAAACCCACAACAACCCATCTCACCATTTGCTTTGCTAGCTACAATTGCTGGGAGATGCAGCCCAATGACAGCAAGAGCGCCACGTGTCGCCCTTTAAAATATGACTTGCTAATTATTAGATTCCCATCCACATTTTTTTGAAGTTTTAGTGGAAAAGCTCACAATAGTTAAGAAATCTCTTCTAAAGATAGCTGTAAATACTTTAACAGGGTGTTGGGTTTGTCGGAAGTTGGATGTTTTACAGAGGAAAAAAATTACCAACGAAAACAAACACTTACCACCCGCATGTAACACTGCTGTCATGATGGAGGGGAACCATGATGTTTCACTGTTGCTGGCTTGGAAGTCATCCTGCAAGTCCTTGAAGAAGACTCCAACGCAGGAGGGGAAGCCCAAAGTCAAGGCTTGAACCAGTACTGTGGCCGCCAAGACCACCCATGCCCAACCTCGGTCCTGAACTTTGGAGGCAGAAAGGGTTGTCCTTCTTTCGTTAGGCATTTTCACTTGAAGTTTTTTCTCAGCACTTCCAGTTAGAGGAAAGGAAACAAAGAGTCTGATGCTTCTTCAGTGCCAAGATGATAGAAGGCAAACTGCTGAAAAACAATCCATGTTGGAAGCAGAATTTTCTGTTCTTCGTTTCAACAGCGTGGCCATCGGCTTCACCGGCTCTGGGAGTCACCAACCTGCTTGTGCTTGCTGCAATGCTGTGTCTTCTCCTTTTATTTGACACAATTATAAATGTCACTGGTCTGAATGTTAGACACACCTCTAGGGAGGAAAGAACGAGCATTACTCAGCACCATCGCTCCCTGCTGATTAGCATTCCCTTTCACCTGCTTTGGTACCAGGAGTCCCCTTGCTGCCTCTCTTGAGCGTCATAAATGCCCGCCCGGTGCCAAGAGGAGGAAGCAAAGCAGGCAAATGTCAAGTATAGGGAAAGAGTATATATAGTTCTGCTGAGCTGCAACATGCGCTCTTGCACAAGCTCCTTGCCTAGTTGTGCTCCTTGTTTCTGGGCACAATTAAAGGAGTCAAAGGGCTGGGTTTTATCAGTTTATAAAGAGGCCTACTACTTTAGAGTAATTGCTGCATTTGCTAAAACAGAGATTATAATGTGTTGTTGAAGGCTTTCATGGGTTGCTTTGAGTTTTCCGGGCTATATGGCCATATTCCAGATACATTCTCTCCTGACATTTCACCCACATCCATGGCAGGCATGCTCAGAGGTTGTGAGGTCTGTTGGAAACTAGGCAAGTGAGGTTTATGTATCTGTAGAATGTCTACCATACACTATACAGCTGAGGACAAGTCTACATAGGGACCACTAAACCTAGCATTGCCCAAACACAAATCAAGGAACATGAAAGGCACTGCAGACTAAGTCAACCTGAGAAGTCAGCCATAGCAGAGCACCTGATGAACCAACCTGGACACAACATATTATTTGAGTACATAGAAATTCTGGACCACTCTCACAACCACCATGTCATACTACACAGAGAAGCCACTGAAATCCGCAAGCATGTTGACAATTTCAACAGAAAGGAGGAAACCATGAAAATGAACAAAATCTGGCTGCCAGTATTAAAAAAAACCCTCTAAATTCAGGACAGTAAATAAAGAGGAACACTCAAACAACAGGGGAATTCCTGACAGGAAACTATCAGGCCCAGCTAACACCTCCCAACAAAGGATTCCCCAGACAGCAACCAGTCAGGTTTTGAAGCTGTAAGGCCATTCAGTGCTAATCAAGGTGGCCAATTGCAACATTCACACTTGCCTCCAGCAGACAAGAGTTCTTTCTCCCACCTTGGACATTATTCCACAGATATATAAACCTCACTTGTCTAGTTTCCAGCAGACCTCACAGCCTCTGAGGATGCCTGTCATAGATGTGGGTGAAACGTTAGGAGAAAATGCTTCTAGAAAACTCACAGCAACCCAGAGATGGGAATCACATTCAACTCTACAGATGTTCTTGGACAACAGTTAATGGCATTCTTCATGAGTGGCTAGCTAGGTAGGGCTTCTTGATGGGACTTCCAGTCCAAGATCAGCTAGAGGGCCACATACTGGTAAGTCCCATCCCATCCCATGGCTCTGAAATACATATTACTTTCTTTATATATTTTTTTCACTCCACAGAAAGAACTCACACATGTACACAGAATATCCAGGAGACATTTCTCAAAATATGTTATTAATGCCACATGTAGAAATTAATGAAGCAGTTATTGTTAGGCGAAGAGGCCCCACATGTGGTTTGGTTTCAATAACTAGAATCCCTCGCTTCTTGGAACTAAAGTTCGATCACATCTAGACCTCCAGGCTGACAAACTTGCTTAAACCAGAAACTTTTCCTTGAACTGGGTTCCACAAAATTATGTACCAAGATATATAGAAAACATGGGACAAATTCAAGGGATGTCTAGTTGTTTTCTGGGGAGTGCGACACACTATCACTTTGTCTAGGCCAGGGGTGCTCAAATTTTTTTAAGCATGGTTCCAGACTATAGTTTGAAAAATCCCTATGCACGTAGTACAAAAAATGAAAGAGCAATACAATAACAACACAAACTTACAAGTATTTCAATGGGAAATGCGGGACTGTTTTTGGCTGATGAAATAGTTAAGTTAATTAGGATTGTTGTTATATGCCTTCCAAGTCATTTCAGACTTAGGGCAACCCTAAGTCTAAAGTTTAAGGCAGGGACCGGGTACAAGACCTTAGAGGAGTTCATCTGGCTTTGGGCCTTAGTTTGAGGACCCCTGATCTAAAGTGTATAGATGACAATCACCTGTCAACTTATGGTGATTCCATAGATTTCATTGGGGTTTTCTAGACAAGGAATACTCAGACATGGTTTTGCCAATTCCAGCCTCTGAAATAAAGCCAGTAGCAGCAAGGTTTTGATTCCAGGTGTTTTGGGATTCAGCTCCTAAATGTCCCAAGCCCCTTCTACATGTCTGAATAAAATCCCACATTTTCTGCTTTAAACTGAAATATATGGCAATGTGGACTCAGATAACCCAGTTCAAAGGAGGTATTGTGGGATTTTCTGCCTTGATATTCTGGGTTATATGGCTGTGTGCAAGGGCCACCAGCCAACTTGACTGATATTGTAGGACCAAAGTATAGGAACTTTTGGTCTTGGGTCTAAACAACCAGAAGGATATGCGAGACACACTCACGCATATCTTGGTATTACCTAAATTGGGCCAGGACTGGTTGGGTCAGTTTCTAAGTATAAAGTGATCACAACCACTGGAAGTCGGGGTGTTTTCTCACAAGGCATTTGAGGAATGTATACCACCCCAGCCTCTCTTTCAACCCTGCAAAATGCCATTTTAGGGCCCTTCCACACAGCCCTATATCCCAGAATATCAAGGCAGAAAATCCCACAATATATGCTTTGAACTGGGTTATCTGAGTCCACACTCATTTAATGTGGGATTTTCTGCCTTGATATTCTGGAATAGAACCCGCAGTGGTGCAGTGGGTTAAACCCCTGTGCCAGCAGGACTAAAGACTGACAGGTTGCAGGTTTGAATCCGGTGAGAGCGTGGATGAGCTCTCTCTATCAGCTCCAGCTCCTCATGCCCACATGAGAGAAGCCTACCACAAGGATGGTAAAACCATCAAAACATCTGGGCGTCCCCTGAGCAACATCCTTGCAGATGGCCAATTACCTCACACCAGAAGTGACTTGCAGTTTCTCAAGTCGCTCCTGACATGACAAAAAATGATATATATATATATATATATATATATATATATATATATATATATATATATATATATATATATATATATATATATGGAATTATCGGGCTATGTGGAAGGGCCCTTAGTAGGAAATCTAGCTGATGAACCTCTGGACTGAGAATGCTTGATACACAAATATAACTAATTACTGGGTGAATAAAATGAGAGTATAGCCCTCGAAGTAACACATTGAAATGTGCTTCAGTCCTCAAACTTCTAGCATTGCAGTGTGTGAGACACAGAAAATCATTTGCCCTCTACAATTAATTTGCTAGGTTAGCATTCTAGTCACTTTTCTTTGCATGCCCAAACTGTACTGCTACATGCCTGGCTGGCTTTGGAAACTTGCAGCGCACACATACATATCCATCCCTGGTTTACATCAGAAAGGTCACATGAAGGCAAAGGAATGGCAGCCCCCGGGGGTTCTGGTTATCAAAGAGTCTATTTCTTCTCTCTTGGAGATAAAGCCAGTGCAAAACCACAAAAACAACCAGGGCAAGAGCACTTCTGAGTTACATAGGCCAAGTCTCTTTTCCAAGCCAGTTCCGGAGTCAGAAAGGCACTGAATTGATGAAGCAAGACCTGGGCAGCTTTCACGGGAGCCCTCCTCCTCCTCCTCCCTCCTCCTCCTCCTCGTGGCTCGCCTCCAGGTGAACTCGACTGCAAGTCCCCGTTGCCTGGGCTGGTCTCCCCAGCAGCAGGGAAGGGGATGCTGGGAGATGCAGTCCATCAACATCAAGGGCAGGACCAGCACACACGGTGCGTGGGTCGGAGGCGACTTGAAGGCACACAACAGCAACAACAACAAGAACACACCCAGACATCAAGCCACAGATCCCAATCAAGCCACTCAGAGACCACACTCCTACAAGCCCCTTCCCATAGCACTGGGGAGACGCGGAGAGGAAGTGGAAGACCACGAGAGGATCCTTCCCTCCCTTCCCGCGCTTCTCAGAGGTTTCGGTTCGGTTTCGCTTTACCTGTTCACACTCGTGGAAGGAGGGGAAGGGAAGAGGGGCTGCTTCCTTCTTTGCTTGCTTGCTTGCTTGCTTTCTCTGCCCCTCTCCTTCCTCCGTGGCAGCTTCCTTCGGGCTCTCCCAGCCTCTTCCGACCTAGAGGGACCCGTCCAAGTTTCCCCTCGTCCAGCGTGTCTTGTTTCCACGGAGGAGGAGGAGGAGGAGGAGGAGACTGGGTGGCGGAGGAGGCGCTGCTGCGGGGCCAGGCCACCAAAGAGCCTCGGGTGGGGACCTAGATCAGGGCTGCTTCCACTTTCTCCACTCGCCACCCTTTCCCCGCCGGAGACATTTTCACGTATATCTAGGAATAGAAGAGGCACAAATAACCAAGCAGTTGCCCATAACAAAGCAGCATTTGCCAGGCTTGCTCAACAGGCGGGGTTTCCTTTTAATGAAGTACAGCTGGAGCATCTCTGCCAGGGTCCACTGTAAACACTGCACGTTGTTGCAGAGAGGTTCATCTCAATGCCAAGGGGGCGCTCAGAAACCTTTTCCTGCTGCCAGATTTCTCATGACCCCAACATTGAGCCTCCAGGCTGGCCTGGAGGGCATACCGCCTCTGCGCTCTTGGGTTTGGGTTGCTCTTACATGGGCTTCATCAGATGGTTTGTACTATTGACCACAGTGGCTGGGGAAAAGCTGACTTGTTCAAAGGTTCGGGCCCCGCCTAGCTTTGCGATCGATCGCATCTCCATCTATGAACCGGCACAAACTCTAAGATCCTTCGGGGAGGCCCTCCTCTCGTTCCCACCTCCGTCACAAGCACAGTTGGTGGGGACGAGAGAGAGGGCCTTCTCGGTAGTGGCCCCCACTTCTGGAACGTCCTTCCAAGGGAAATAAGACAGGCCCCATCCCTCCCCTCTTTTTGTAAGAGTTTGAAGACTTGGTGGTTTCAACAAATCTTCGAGAGTGACCAGTGCTAGCTCAGCCCAGACACTGTCCGGACACAACCTAGCCTCCTATATATTACCTTGGTCATGCTCCTAAGAGGCCCCTGGAAAAAGCTTTTGTCGTTTTACCTATTACAGCACTGTACCCAAATGCTGGTCCCATCTTATTTCAATTTGTATCAGTCTTGACCCAGCCTTTTAATTGTTCTGACCCATTACTTTTCATGCCCTAACAAATAGACATGAAAAGCAGGCAGGATTTTTTCTTTTAAGATGTATGTGTTGTTGAGTAATTCCATGCTTACGTTGCTGTAAACTGTTATTTTTTGTGACTCTACATGTTTTGATGTTGTTTTTTGGAAACTGCCCTGAGTCCCCCGGGGAGATAGAGCGGTATATAAATAAATTATTATTATTATTATTATTATTATTATTATTATTATTATTATTATTATTAGGTGCATCAACCCCAGGCATGGGCAAACTTGGGCCCTCCCTTCAGGTGTTTTGGACTTCCTAACAGCTGCAGGCCCCTTCCTTTCTGCTTAAGCTGCTGAGGGGGAAAAGGAAAAGGCCTGAGGCTGTTAGGAATTGTGGGAGTTGAAGTCCAAAACACCTGAAGGGAGGGCCCAAGTTGGCCCATGCCTGATCTACACTGTAGAATGAATGTCAACTGCTTTGGCTCAGGGCTATGGAACTTCTGGGAGTTGTAGTTAGGCAACTCTTTGACAGAGAAGGAGAAGGAGAAAAGTACAACCACCAGGATTCCACTCCATCGGGGCACAGCAGGCCAAGTGGTGTCACAGTACATGCATTCTACAGTGTGGATGCACTCCAAGCACTAGATTTTAATAGCTGTGTTTTGGTGCCATCTCTCCCCAATCGTCCTGCTTTTCTCACTGAGAGGGTAGACTATATGAATAGGGTGTTACATCAGGAATCTTACAAGGTCATAGATATCTTGGATAGATTTTTAAGAATCCAATTTGCTCACAATAGCACCTGCTTCTTCATTTCTTCACCACAGTACTATGAGACAGGCTGGGCTTTTTTGTGTGTGTCAGGAGCAACTTGAGAAACTGCAAGTCTCTTCTGGTGTGAAAGAATTGGCCGTCTGCAAGGACGTTGCCCAGGGGATGCCCGGATGTTTGATGTTTTACTATCCTGTGGGAGGCTTCTCTCATGTCCCCACATGGGGAGCTAGAGCTGAGACAGGAGCTCACCCCGCTTCCCAGATTTGAACCACCAACTTGTCGGTCAACAGTCCTGCTAGCACAAGGTTTAACCCATTGCGCCACTGGGGGCTCCACAGACTGTGCTGAGAAAGAGCCTCTGCTGTCCTGAAAGAATGGCTGGCCAGAGGTGCGAAGAAGCTGCGTCTCCAAGTGTAGCCCAAAACAAGCCTTTACAGCACAGAGAGTGGATGATGGGATGGCCTTCCATACCAAAAGGATGGTGAATTCACAGATCAAGTGAATTGTTCTGTGCTTGCCCTCTGAAGAGATTTCCCTTTGCCTTTCTCTGAAGCCGAGAGAATGCGTCTTGCTCAAGGTCACCTGGTGGGTTTCCCAGGCTGAGTAGACATTTGAGATGTCATGTCCCAGAGTTGTAGTCGAGCACAGTAACATGACTGCGGAACAGGATATGGAATCAAACCTAGCCTTCCCCCCTATCATCATGTCTTCTACTGTTTGAGTTACCTTGTGTGTGATGTGCAGAGAAAATTCGGTGATATCAATCCCTTTTTGAAGTAGTATAGTTTAGAGAGAGATTTCTCCTATTACCCTAACCAAAAAGGATTTGTGTTCCTTTGGTTGACCTATTAAAGATGCTGCTTCAATACAGAGTTTGAAAGGCATCCTGTGGTCAATGCTGCATTTGTATAGATTTGGCAGTAGTTCCAAGAATTAGGCAGTAGTTCTAAGTAGTACTTCTAAGAAATCTTTGGGTCAAGTGTTTTTCAAGGTTGTGACACATAGATATCCCTTATCACATGCAGGAAGCAGGCAGGCAATGATGAAAAGCACAAAGCAGTCAGTGAGATCAGCAAATGATCATGGCATGTAATAAAAGTCTTATCAATGGTGTCAGGACGACTCCCACACACACTTACATATACATTATTTCCTTATTTCTGCATCTGCCCACCAACTGGAGAGCTTGGCCAAGACTTCTAACACATATACTGTGTGAGTAGACTGTGTGGCAGGCTTTGGACTGAGTCATCAGTCGCTAAATCAGATTTGGATTCGGCTATATGTTGAATAATAATGTTTTAATATATTTTAATCCAATGTTTTATCTCTTGTATAATGTTGTTGTAATGTGTTTTTGTGTGTTGTCGACACTGAATTGCTGCTGTTGTAAGCTGCCCTGGGGGTTGAGAAGGACGGGGTATAAATCTATATAAATAAAAATGTAATGTTCATTTATGGGATTAACAGAACTCAAAAATCACTGGGGGAATTGACACCAAATTTGGACACAAGACCAGGTGTATGTCCTTCACTCAAAAAAATGATTTTGTCCTTTGGGAGTTATAGTTGCTGGGATTTATAGTTCACCTACAATCAAAGAGCATTCTGAACCCCAGCAACGATGGAATTGAACCAAACTTGGCACACAGTTCTCCCATGACCAACAGAAAATACTGGAAGGGTTTGGTGGGCAATGTCCTTTGGTTTTGGAGTTGTAGTTCACCTACATCCAGAGATCACTCTGGACTCAAACAATGATGAATCTGGACCAAAACTCTACACAAATACTCAATATGCCCAAATGTGAACACTGGTGGAGTTTGGGGAAAATAGAATCTTGACATTTGGGAGTTGTAATTGCTGGAATTTATAGTTCACCTACAATCACAGAGCATTCTGAACCCCACTAACGATAGAATTGGGCCAAACCTCCCACACAGAACCCCCATGACCACCAGAGTGGGCCACAGCAACGCGTGGGACGGCTAGTGTTGGAATAAATAAATAGTTAATCTGCATTAAGTGTCCTTCAGCATATGACAAATGTCCAGTCACACTGCTGGCAGATAAGCCCAAGCAAATAGCAGATTATGGAGCCAATGTGGTAGAGTAGTTTAAATTTCTAACTATGACTCTAGAGCCCAGGCTTTGAATCTCCACTCAATTATGAAAACCCACTGGGTGACCTTGAGCAAGTCATACACTCCTGTGATAGGTTTGCCTTAGGGTCATCATAACTTGGAAAGAATTTGAAGGCACACAACAACAAAGATAGCAGTTTATGACTATCTGCTGTTTGGAGAAGCAAACCCATACTTGTGCTTGCTTTTTTTTTTGTAAATGCTTCCTCTGTTTATTTTGGACTCATCTGGACATTTGTCATTTTTGACAACACAGAGGTGGGCCAGCATTTTAAAAAAGACATACCTCTTCCTAATTAGGTCTTCTGAATTAAGTTGTCTTCTATGTGAGCACTGACATCAGCAGGTGGTCACTCTGTGTCAGTAGAGAAGTGAATCCATTCTGGGTTTTAGTCTAAACTTTAAACGAGCTATCTAAGATGCTAAACCTGTTTTGGATATAGGATTCAGCACCTTGGATAGCACCTTGAAATTTTAGCCTAAAACTCAGCATAGATTCACTGATCCACTGCCTTGGAAACCTCTGAATGGTACGTTATTTGGCATGTCACCCTTTGCCATCATGTCTATGCATGCAGACTGGTCTATGGCAGGATGAAAAGGGATGTCCCCTTGAATCCCATGGGGAAGGTCCTCTCTATTTTATTATAACTTTGCAGAAACTCTTTTGAAGGTGTGGGAGAGAGGAAGGGGAGGAGGCAAGGATTTTGATTATAACAGTTTAAAGCCACCTATGATCAATACATTTTTGAACATACATTGTAGAAAAGACCATGGTGGTAGTTGCTTTTAAACAATCCTGTTCTCCAGAGCTCAAGTGTATGCTAATCTCTTCCATTCCAACAGCTTCACATATATTCTCAAGCAGGAGAGTATTTTAAAGCAATTTTGAAAAATTGTCAGTTTTTCCAAGGAGTAGAGCTGTACTTCCATGTTTCCTTTACTAGTGAGAGTGAGGAGAAGTTTCCTTGCATAGGCATCAGGACTAAGTAGAGCAGTGGTTCTCCACCTGTGGGTCCCCAGGTGTTTTGGCCTACAACTCCCAGAAATCCCAGCCAGTTTACCAACTGTTAGGATTTCTGGGAGTTGAAGGCCAAAACATCTGGGGACCCACAGGTTGAGAACCACTGGATTAGAGGACTCACTAGACTTGCCACAGAACTTGTTGGATGCAACTTACAGCCTTCTTGAGGTCACTTCAAACAGGCTAGGTTGATACATAGTTGTACGGTGCTCCTTGCTCACACACTAAGTAAGTAAGCAAGAAAGAACATCTCTAGTTTATATCTCACTAGTCCTTAGTGAGAATATCTAAAGCAATGGTTCCCAACCTTTTTTTGACCAGGGACCACTCTCCAACATTAGCACCAAAAGGGTTACAAACCAGTTTTTGATCAAATTTAGATTCAGCTTGGTTATTTGGAGTGCTGTTCCAGAAAATTGCATTGGATAGGCCACATCAGCTCTAGTTTCCGATACAGAACATATGCCACCGAATAGTCGCCATCTGCTCGCCCATAGAAACCCATATTTAATAATCTAGAGCTGATGTGGTAGTATCGTTCCAATTTTAGTATATGTGCTGCCGAAGCGGTAGTAACAATCTTGGTAGTAACAATCTTTCGTGGGTAGTCAGCCTCTCCCTTCCCAACTCCCTGTTGCCTCAGCACTATAAGAGGGTTTTGCAAGACCAGTCACTCTTATTTCCATGTGGATTCGAGGCAACAGTGTAGTAATACTGAGGCCGTGGACCATATTTTCATTCTCGTGGACCACTGGCATTCCATGGACCACAAGTTGGGAACCACTGATGTAAAGACATAAGGGACCTTGTCAAAGGTATTACTAAATAGGGTGTCCCATGATATTCTCACAAAGAAGCTAATACAAAATGGGCTCTGAAGTCAGTATGTTTCTATAAGTCTAGAAGTGTAAGTCAGCATAGAACCTGCAAAGGGCCACATAGACTGCATTTAGAGTCACATAGACTGCATTAAAATAAAATAAAATGCCAGCTGCTGAGGACCCAACCCTTTTCCAGATTGGCTGCTCTAGTCCTATTATTGTCTAACAATTTCTCCCCCCTCCCTAAAAATAAACTTGATACAAGGAAATTATGAACGTATATATTTCATTACTCCATACAAATCCAAAATAGATCAAGTCTCCAATAGCCCAGCCAAATCCAAGCATTTTGGAGGAGATTAATGAATAATTCACTAATATCAGGATGCTCTGGGGGAGGTAGAAAGGAGTAGCGGTCCCCACTTTAGAACTGTGTGTGCCTGGGTTCCTTGGAAGTATACTTTATGGTGTGCACATGGTTATAAACTAGTTGGGACTCATGCATATATATTTTATATTAAAAGTAATTAAGATGTGCTGAAATGGATAAGTGCAGAAACAGTCCAGTGCATCTAGGGAAATCTTAAAATGTTATATTATATATCGATATGTGCTTGTGAAACTCTTCCCATATCTAGCTGTGAGGTGGGCTCACTCAAAATATCAATACAAACAGGAAAGGACTAATTATGTCAACAAAGGAGTCCTAATCAAACAAGCTTTTGAGAATGCCTAGTCCCTAGCTGTTCTGCGCAGTAGTTACGCAGCCTTGCACTTCATCCCATGCCCTCTTTTCATTGTTACAGCTCTGCACATCCTATTGTTTACAGCCTGGCCATGTATACAGCAGCTTACTACAATTGGTTGATGAGCAAAGTTTTATTGAGCTTTAGTTGTTATTTTATATGCCTATGTGCTTAACTCTATTGTATTTTATATATTATAAGCTTTAAATCTCAAATTCCATAAGATCATTATGAAATTCCATAAAAAAGTCACACATTTTAGGACAAGTTGTTGTGATCACAAATTGCTAATTCATAGTAAGGTTATCTGCAGATGATATCTTTTTTAAAGCAAATGATCTGTGTTTTTTGGCACAACCGTTGTAACTTTTTCCCCTCACAGGAATTTCCAGGATCCTGAGAGATGTAATAATAAAACTTTATTTGTATTCTGCCCTATCTCCCCAAGGGGACTCACAAATGCTCTCCAAATACAACTTTTCCAAGCTCTATTCATGGTTGATCATTCTGGCTTGAAAAACAGAAAGGAGTGTCTGGCCCAAGGTCACCCATTAGCTGAGTGGAGATTTGAACAGTTGTCTGAGATGCAAATCGAATTCTGCAACCACTACAACAAAGCAGCTCTTATTCCACTATATTACGGAAAAAGAAGACTGCACATTATTTGCCACAGGGTAATTGTGATAGTGATGTCTCTGATTAAGTCAATACATTGTTATTGAAACACATCTGCTTTTTCAGCAGGAGGATTTAAAGATTGGAAGCTGAAAGGGTGTGCCTTGCCCAAGGATACCCAGCGGATGCTAAGCAGTAATATGAACCCTGGTCTCATGGAGACTTAGTCCAGCACTCAGACCAGACCATCACATTGACTCTTGTACTTAATCATGTTTGTGTACATGCGCGTCCAAGTTGCCTGTCGACTTATGGTGTCCCCATGAATTTCACAAGGCCACAGGACTACAAATCCAATAATGTACCTGGAATATCTGAAAGCATACATGCACATGTACACTGCAAACAATAGCAGCAGCAATAACAACACGAAAAACAGCCAAGAAACAACTTTTGTACATTATGGACCACAGATTGAAGTTAACAAATGTCTTTTGAGTGCCAGATGACTATGTCCTTGATAATGAGTCTAAACATTTCAGGCCACTTTGCAACATCTCTGACTGCCTGAGTGCCTTCGGATATGGCTCCAGAGACTCTGGGACACAGCCAGGACTGACATCCATAGCAAATTGCTGGTAAGTGCTGCCAATAAGGGATAATTAACAATCACAGTATCTTAAAAATTAACTTGAAAGAGCCTGCTGGGGTACTGAAGTGCTTCGTGAAGTTAATCCAGCTAACTCAAGGCCTGATCTGGACCCAAAACATATCCCACTGTGGCTAATTGGAATGGTCTGTGCCTCTTTGCCTAGTCTTCTGAAGTGGCGCAGACAGGATTTTCAAACTTATGTCGAATTGCCCTTGCCTACACAGAGTTTGTAAATGATAATTCTGTAGTTCATGAAAATACAATCACATGGATAGAATAGCATGAGTGAAACAGTAAAAAATGTTGTATTCTGTTTTGGGGTTATGGTTAAATAGAGTAGGGACAGGGAAATTGGGAAGAGAAGGAGATGTTGTATAACTGATATGGTGAACATGGGTGCAATGTTCCTTGGGGACTTTTGATATGATGAAATGATCATCACTTTTGGCCTAAATATTAGTGCTATGTCCAGGAATTTTTTTCCCCCAATGCAGGGGATGAAGCAATGCAATCAGATGGTGAATCATTCTGGATAAACTGAAAGCCTGATTTCAAATACACCACAATCTACTCAGAATCAGCTAGTTTTACTACATGAAAAGGATTGTTAGTATCTTCTTCAGTTATGTTAAGAAGAAACAGAGGAAAATAATGCCTAAGGTCCTGCAATGCAGAAACATAGCATAACAGTTTTGCATGTGAAACTACACTCTTTTAACTATAGAGATTCCACGGCCATTTAGTGACTGGTGGAAAGCAGGGGGCATTGGAGAAGAAGATAATTATGTCTCTAGAGCCAAGTGGTTCTCAACCTGTGGGTCTCCAGGTGTTTTGGCCCACAACACCTAGTAATCCCAGCCAGTTTATCAGCTGTTAGGATTTCTGAGAGTTGAAGGCCAAAACATCTGGGGACCCATGGGTTGGGAACCACTTCTATAGCCAAACACAGGATGATAACATCTGTGAGACCATACCATTCTGTGCCTTGCTACAGGACATAGTGAGGTGATGCCCGAGGCTTGCGACTCTCCATTACTCACTCAGTAGCTATGAGAAGATGCGCCCAAAGCTAAAAGGTGGTTTAGGAATAGAGAATTCCGATTTCCACAGTGATCCTCAACATGATTTTCAATGGTGTACAATGGGCATCATCAGTCACTAGCAGGCACCAGCCAATGCCTTTATACCCATGGAACAAGGCAAGGAATGTTTTGACCAGAATAACTGGTCTTTACACAGATTTTCCCTCTGAAAACATGCTAGGTGGAATGCATCTGAATATGTATCCATTGCCATACAGATGTAGTGAGGAAAGAGTGTTTGGATAAATCATTGGCAGAGAACATACAGTCTTTTAGAGGTTGTTGGATTGCAGATCCCCATCCCTCACCGCATTAGCTAAGGTTCATGGGAGTTTCAATCCAACAAGCTCTATAAAGAAGGCATAAGGTATTGTCTGCTACCCGAGGAAGAGGACAAAGAAGTTTGTAGGCAAGCATGAGGTAGGGCACCTGTCCTGTTTCAAATGGAGCACTTAGCTGCATTCCTCAAAGAGGTGCCGATGTAAGAGGAAGTCGGGAATGAACTAGAGAGGCTGTGGGCTTCTCTTTCTCACCACCATGCAGTCCTGTGAAGAAAGTAAAGATCTCCCATAGCTAAAGTCCATTGCCAACATACACATTCTGCTTGTATCCATGTGACTTTTAAAAAAAAGTTAATGAGCATGCCTCAGGAATCATGAGATAAAAGTTAATTTTATGAGCAACAGCAATTGGCCTTTAAGAAAGAATCTGAGGTTTCAATTTGTGTTGGTTTTTTCTTGTTCTTTTTAGTGATTTGGCCTTACTCTTTTAGCTGTCTCAAAGTAACAGATGCCCCACTGCTTACCATGGCAGCTGGGTATAATGGCTCAGTGAATGTGGTCAGGAAACTGTAGATGAGGTTCATGGTATTGGTGATGCCATAAAATGTCAAGGAGCCACCAGTGTAGTCGAGCAAGATCCCTATGGTCTTGTAGTAATTGCCTTGCACCACTGTCTGGATATTGTTATGCCAGACAGAGAACTTCACAGAGTCCCATTCCAAGCACCAGGAATTGCTGTTCCTCCCAATCAGATAAAACATACATGACTTCTCGGTGCGGTGCCTGTAACTATAGGTGACTCCTAAGCACAGCCACGTATTTGAGATCTCTGCCTCCCAGTAGTGGCAGCCCTCGCACAGGCTGCGGGTGCACAAAAGCTGTGGCCAGTGGTTGAACCCTTGGCTGGGTTTTGAGTAGTTCTCCAGCAAGATCCCCATGTTCAGCACAGAGTGGGTCTCCTTAAAGAGGAAAAGTTCTTCGTTGGCAGTGCTGGCATCAAAATTTAGGGTACAATAATCTGTTTAGTGGAAAAGAAAAACATGTCACAGAAAGCAAGATGATGATAAACAGGTCTAGAATGAACCAAGCATGTCTCAAAATCATAGAGGAGTTGAGAACACAAGAGATCTTTTTTTTTTTAAAGAGTAGGTCTCCTCCAAGGGGTCCAAAGTAAAATATAGGCGTTCCCATCTCCTGAATTTTACCTTCAGTACATGTAGGTTTCATTTTGAAAGTGATGTTATGCTTTGAGCATTTTTGCCACCTTGTGATCCCAGATCCAGAGCAATTGTCCAATCTTAGATTTATTGCTGCCATAAAGCTTAGTACAACCAATGTGGAGCTTTGCTTGTTTTCATCTTGATCATAATAATCAGCTGAATTGGGGAATAACATTGCAATGAACTTATCCAGAGACTTCCATGGCTGTGAGGGAATTTCCATATAGAATTTCCCTTTGTTCAAGGATAGAGAAACTTTGGCCCTTCAGACATGGCTAGACTTCATCTTCCATAAGCTCAATGGTGAGGCCTCATGAGAGACGCAGTTTGACAGCTCACACTGGGCCAAAGGTTCCTTACCGTTGCCCTGGTTCATCTCCAGATCGTGGTTTATCCCCTACATCTCACTGATTCTTTATTGTGTTGATATGTGCCACAAGTGGAGAACAAGGTGAAACAAGCTGATCCATGTCAAAGGTGCCTCACTGGATAAGGAACATAACACAGTAAGCAAACTAGGTAGTTTAACCAAACGAACCAAAACAAAGACAAAGCCTATAGCTAGTGACCAGTCTGTACTAAATAGAAACACCTGCTCAATCTAAATTACAATTATAAAAACCACCCCATGCTCACATATGGTAGTTTTTTTACCCTTTTGGTGCGAAGCCAAGTAATAAATTAATATGATGATGGTCTGTGTTTTAGCTTTTTTAATACCAAACTATTCATATTGTTTTTTGGGGGGTTGAGATATTTTAATATTTATTTATTAATTAAAATAGACATGCATTTGTAACTGTTTGTTGCATACAGTGCAATATTTTCCAGCTATTCGTGTTTCAATATCATTTCTCACATTATATCTTTTCTTTAAGGGATCAAAGTCTTCTATTTGAATAGTACATCTAAAGGTATCATAGAATCATAGTATCAGAATCCTAGAGTTGGAAGAGACCTCCTGGGCCATCCAGTCCAACCCCCTGCCAAGAAGCAGGAAAATCGCCTTCAAAGCACCCCCAACAGGTGGCCATCCAGCCTGTTGTTGTTTTGAACCTTTGTAAGCTGCCTTGGGTCCCGTGTTGTAACAAAGAAAGCATCTAAATCTAATCTAATCAAACAAACAGATAAAATTACATTTATAGACAGTTTCTCTTGTTTATTTGGAAGATATTTGATTGCACAAATATTGTCAGAGGGAAAGTATTCCTCAAACTCTAGGAAAGTTCTTCTGGTTTGTTTGTTTTTTTTCATTTGAAAGACAGTTAGGGGACAATTTACTGATGTTGGTGGTCACATTGATACCCTTTTTTAAAAAGAGGGGAAATTCTAGATTCTTATGAAATGAGTTAAAGCAACAGACTGCATGTTGGATGACCTCCCTCTATCTTTCATTGCAATGGAAATCTGACAGGGAGAGAACTCCTGTGATCTTCTCCTGCTGCACTGCTCACATCCTTTGGACCGGAGCCACCTAGGAGGCAGAGTGCCTGTGATTAGATATGTCTGCATGCTGAAATTAGTGTCTCTAGAGCAGTAGTTCCCGACCTTTGGTCTCCAGTTGTTTTGGACTTCAACCCCCCAGAAATCCCAGTCACCTTACCAACTGTTAGGAATTGTGGGAGCTGAAGTTCAAAACACCTGGAGGACCAAAGGTTAGGAACCACTGCTCTAGAGAGACTGACCGTACCAATACATAGGACATCAGTGGGAACAGTCACCATGGATAATTAATGCTGGGAAGCAGGCAGAGCAATGCTAGCAGAGGTGGCAAAGACCCTCTCTCAGGGCGGTTCCACACAGAGCTTTAACCCAGGCGCAATCGGGTTTCTTAAACCCGTTTGTGCCCAGGTTGAATTTCACACACCTCCACCTAACATGCAGTCATGCCGGCCACATGACCTTGGAGGTGTCTACGGACAACGCTGGCTCTTCGGCTTAGAAATGGAGATGAACACCACACCCCAGAGTCAGACGTGACTGGACTTAATGTCAGGGGACTACCTTTACCTCTACCTTTAACACCTAACATCCATGCTTTCCTGGGAGAGGGCACACAAAACAAAACCCCTTTAGTAAAATTGAAGTTTTACCCTGATATTAAGTGGAGTTGTGTCTGACTCTGGTGGGTGGTGATCATCTCCATTTCTGAGCTGAAAAGCTGGAGTTGTCCGTAGATATCTCCAAGGTCATGTGGCCAGCATGACTGCATGGAGCGCCGTTACCTTCCCACAGAAGCGGTACCTACTGATGTCACATTTGCATGTTTTCGAATTGCTAGGTTGGCGGAAGTTGGGGCTAACAGCGGGAGCTCGCCCCGCTCCCCAGATTCGAACCGCCAACCTTGCGGTCAGCAAGTTCAGCAGCTCAGAGTTTTAACACACTGCACCACCAGTGATTTTCCTACTCCCCTCCTTCTCCTGGTGCGTCATTTTTTTTGCACCAGGAGAGCTCTGGAGAAGGAGGAATGGTGGCCAGGTAAGTTATTTTCTTTTTAAAAGGCTTTAAAAAAGGATTTTGGGAGAGGGTGGGGGCTGTCTTGGGTTTGTTGGGTTCCAGGAGCCCAAGAAACGCAAGACAGCTGTGTGGATGGGCACCGGAAGTCACACAACACTATCCCCGGACCCAATCCACACAGCACCCGCAGATGGAAAGACAAGGGTTTTCTGAAAGAAGCAGGCCTTTCCAGCTGTTAAATTACTTCGGGACAAAGCAGATTTTCTTGCTTTGTCCCGAAGGCAATCGTTTTTATATGGGAAGTTGTTTGGACGCCCCACATAAAATGCGGGAGGGCGCACATTTTGGGTGCTGTCTGGATGTGCCCTCAGACTGACAGAGCAGCATACACCACATGGCTTCTCCATACCTGCTAACATTTTACAGATGAAAACTGTGTCATTTGCGGCCAAGCAAAATCAAGATGTGATCAAAATGTCAAAGATTATTTATGAGGAAGAACATACTAGCAGGGACAGGTTGCAAAAATTAATCTTTGCCTGTGCCTCCTGGCAAGGGTAAGATTTGGCCCTATCCTTTCCTCTCCTTTCCAGAGCTGAGTACAAATTCTTTTGTAATTTGAACTGATTTTGCAGTAACTGGAAAAAGTCAAGGACAAAGGTAAGTAAGTAAGTCAAAGGGGAAAAGTGAGTGGAGAAGGACAGAAAAGCATATTTAAAAAGTAGTGGGAAAAGTGGGAAAACAGAGGATTCATTCAGACTGTCCCTGCCAAATTAGGACAGTTGGCAAGCATACCTCCTTGCCTGCCCTCTTTGCCAGATTTAGCTTGCTGGCTTCCAGTGTTGTTGACCATTCAGTAGCACTGCAGTAAGATTCACCTGTCAGTTGATATGTGTAACAAGGAGAGAGGCACCACCTTGCCCTTTGTCCCAGGCCAAATCCACCTAAGGCTGTATCTCAGCTATACTATGCAATATCCTGCTCTTGTCCAACGCATTGACATCATACTCAGCCATTTTTATCCAAAATCAAATTGGTCTTGAAAGCCACAGATTTTCCACAACTGAAGTCAAATAGATACAAGTGGATGTTTTTACCCATGTTCGCTGTATGAGTTTATTTTAGGTTGCACAATTAAATCTGGAGGACGTAAGGTTAATGGGATCATACCAAGCAATGAAGCTGGGATACACCCCTCACGTGGGTTGATCCTCAGAAGCTATTGAGAGAAAAGCCTCCCTTACCCAGCTGCACACTTTCAACTCCTCCTAAGGTTTCCCTATGCCTACACAGATCCATCTTACCAGCAAGGACAGACTATCTAAATGAAGATCTCTGCAGAAGGGAATGGAGAGAGCCTTCCCTTTGTCTACCAGAGATCCTGTTACTGATCTTCATTTCTACCCTGGAGGAAAGCATGGAGACAAAACTCTCACTCCATCCCAGCAAGACCAAAAGATATGTTTTGTTTCTTTATATCCCGACTAATATCACAAGATCTTCCAGGCAGTATACAAGCAAAATAAATATAAATAGATGAAAACATTGCAGGTTGTGCAATGGGTTAAACCCTTGTGCTGCTGAACTGCTGACCTGAAAGTTGGCCATTCAAATCTGCAGGACAGAGTGAGTTCTTGCTGTTAGCTCTAGCTCCTGCCAGCTTAGCAGAAAACATGCAAATTTGAGTAGATCAATAGGTACTGCTTTGGTGGGAAAAGGCAAAAGATGCTCCAGGCAGTCATGCCAGCCACACGACCAGGAGGTGTCTACGGACAACGCAGGCTCCTCGGATTGGAAATGGAGAAGAGAACCGCCCCCAGAACCAGAGATGAGCATCGCTTTCAGAGCCGGAAATGAGAGGAGAAGCCTTTGCCTTTGTCCGTGTATTTGTGTCTCAGTATATTTAATTGTAATAAGGCATTGAATGTTTGCATGTGTCTGTTTATATGCTGTAATCCACTCCGAGTCCCCTTGGGGAGAAGGGTGGAATATAAAATAAAGCGTTGTTGTTGTTGTTGTTGTTGTTGTTAAGCTATATTATTAAAAAAATAATGCATTTTAAAAAAATAGACCAGTTCATGAAAATCATGCCCACATGAAACCAGGATTGGCACTCACTTAGTCTTTAAGGAGAGGACATTCCACAAATGGGTGCCACAATTGATAAGGGCCTCCTACCTCTTCACAGTGTATAGACAGTCCCTAACCTATAAACATCTGACTTACATCCAACACAAATGACGCATAGTTAAGAACAGGGCTGAGAAAACAGGAAGTGAGAGAAAAGTACCCCTAGGAAGGGAAATTCACTTTTGGAAGAGTTATCATGGGGAAAAGATGTAGCAACTGAAGCTCCAATGGAGCCAGCATACTTCAGTGGCACATTAACTATGTGATGGGTGAAGCCAAGAACAGCGCACGGAGCGACAGTCAGCCCGTGTCCCTGCCGTTTTGACATGGAGGCTGCCGAAACATCATTTGTGGGGAATGGGCGTGTGATGAGGTTGATAATCACAAAAACATTTTCTGTAAGCCTAGCTTACATGTACTGTTATCAATCTGTTAACAAGGCTAAAACTCTAAGCTAATTTACTTTTTGAACCTTCCAATGTGCATGTGCTCTAGTTACTGTTGACATTATTACCAAATTACAATGACACTTTAAATCATGTGGTTTTGTCTGCACATGTTACTAGCACATGTCAGTTTTTCTGCTGGTGATTTTTATAGTCACTAATTTTGTTACATTTTCTGGTATTTCAGCAACAATATCGTGGTAAGGTTTGTTATGGGAGGAAGTTCATGGGGTTGACATCATGGGTAACCGCACTGGGTGACACCAATAGTAGTCATCATGACTAAAGGCAAAGGATGCATCAAAACAGCTCTTAAATTAGGAGGATGAAGGAGTATTACATAATTTTGCTCGACCTACAGGTTCAAGCGTGAATGAAAACTGATTCAGGTGTTCGCATTGCGCTGAGAGCCGGGGAGATTTTGAATTTCTAAAACTCCCCCCCTGCACACACTAAGTGCAATTTTTTTAATGCTACAACATATTAAAATATTTGTTTGTTTACAAAGACAAAGAGTAATACTTTTTTAAAGGATGGTGGTTAGCTTTTAAAAGACAGAAATATTGCTCTGGAACATAAAGAGAAGTGCAGGAACAATTAAGTCAGCAATTAAATCTATAAAATGTTTGATTCACAAGTAAGCATTTCTCATCAAAAGTATTACAAAAGGTAACACTGTGAGAGAAGAAGACAGGCTTGCTTTACAGCAGAGTTTTCCAAACATTTATTTATTTATTTACTATTTAAGACATTTATCTTCCGCCCTTCCCACCCCGAAGGGGACTCAGGGCGGAGCACAGCATATACACGGCAAACATTCAATGCCAGGACACAAATTCACATACAATACATAAACATTAAAAAACATTTAGCAAAATATTAAAATACACCATTTAAACCCGTCCTAATGTTAGTGTTAATGGTAGTGACAAACTTTGTAGACATGTATCATTTTGTAGCACAGTAATTCAGTTTTACTAGCAAACCAGGGGTTAAAACAAACAGTTATTATAAGAGATATGGACAAATACATAAATTATAATAACAAAATGTTTGCCATACATGTTGGAATATAGCTTCATCGGGGAGATAGGGTGGTCTACAAATACATTATTATTATTATTATTATTATTATTATTATTACTACTACTATCTCATGAAAAGTGTTCTTTTATGTTTTTAAAAATACATGATTTATTGCTTATTTTACACAGGCTCAGAGGGTTCTTGTTATGTTTGCAGGACACACCTATACACAGCAACCGACACACCAACGTGTCATGACACACATTTTGGAAAGCTCTGTTCTTCAGGAACAAGCCCATGGTGAATCCTTTTCCTGTCCGCAGGTATTGTAATTGCACTTTTAAAACCTAGGGCACGGCCACCAAGCAAGAACGTGTCTGGATTCAGGGATGTTTTATTATTCCCTCCTCCAAATGTTGCCCATCCCCCAGATGTTTTGGACTACTCTACAACACCAGCTGGAGGGAATGCATTTGGGAATTCTTGCATGAACCATTCTAAATATTATGATTATTTTTGTTATATCTCTTGCGGAGACTGGCTCAGAAAGAGTCCTACAAAACCTGCAGTTTGGGGTAGCCAAAAGGTTGCGCAAGTCTCCAACGAAATGCTATAAGAAGAAGCTTGTCAAAATTTGGACATAGCACAGCTGCAGGGCATTTCCTGGGGTTTGTGCTAAGTCCTTCCATCCCTTAACAAATCCTTTTGACTGCTGCTTAAGCCACAAATTCACCAGGATGGATTTTTCCAGCATAAAGATGTAATATATAATACGACCCCCAAATCTTCAGGGGATACATTCTTGGATTTCATATCGATATGTGACGCCATGGATTATAGTGAACCATATTCTTATCTATGGTACAAAATGTGGCAATAGCAAGGAAAGGGCATAATTTGTATAGGGCAACATAAAGGAAATGACGTATATTGATTCTGAAGATACAGGAGGATCATACTGTTCAAATTATAGCAATCAGTTAGGGAAAAGAAATCATAAATGGCTACTCTTCCTCATTCCTGCTTCCCAACAACTCAACTGTTGTCACATTTCATATAATATATTGCCTTCGGGCTGAGAAAGGAGGGATATAAATACGATAAATAAACAGCCATAATAAGGCAAGCTAAGTAGAAAGTGTTCGCTTGCTTTTGGATTCTAATTTTAGTGAGGCTTTCTGCCCCTCTGGACAGTTTATCCAGAATGTTTGGGGTTCAGAATTTGTAAGGCCAGATTAACACTTTACTTTCTGGCCCTTGATTTCTGAGTTTCTAATGCAGCACTTAAGTTCATCCATTCAAAGGGTCTGCCTTGAAGGGTTTTCTGTACATGGGCCTTAGTATAAACTTGGCACATCATCAGAGCACATGCTGCTGTCATAAGTCCAGGGTGACACTGGTTCTCAGGCAACTCATCTAATAGGATTATGTACAAATGGCAGCACAAGCTACAGCTAAAGACATTGGGTCTCACATACACACCTTCTAAGACTAGGGAGCAGGGGTAAAAGTAAAGGTAAAAGTTTCCCCTGACATTAAATCTAGTCTTGTCCGACTGTGGGGGTTGGTGCTCATCTCAACTTCTAAGCTGAAGAGCTGGCGTTGTCTGTAGACACCTCCAAAATCATGTGGCCAGCATGACTGCAGGAACGCCGTTACCTTCCCACCAGAGTGGTACCTATTGATCTTCTCACATTTGCTTGTTTTCAAACTGCTAGGTTGGCAGAAGCTAGGGCTAACAGCAGGAGCTCAACCTGCTCCCTGGATTCAAACCGTCGACCTTTAGGTCAGCAAGTTCAGCAGCTCAGTGGTTTAATCCCCTCCGCCACTGGGAGCAGGGGTAGGTTGCTTCAAATCCCCAAGTATGCTAGTATCCTACTATCCTGACTTTAAGCAGAGGAAAGTTTTGTTATATTTTGCATCTAAATGCTGTTGGACTGTGGAAAACAACTTGTGATGGACAACAGTAAAGATACCTTCATCCATCTTAGTAATTTTAAAACCCTCAATTTCTGTTGGTTTAGTTTGAGCCTGTGTAAATTCAGTTTTGCTTTGTGCTTAAATTGCCTAAAAGTAATCTATGGTGGCCATTTGTCTATTTAAGTGTTGAAGAAAATTTCTATGGATACGATGGATGGCCATAATGACAAATTAATAGGTTCTACAGAAAATCAAGTCTGAACAACTCTATAGAAGTCAAAATGACCAAACTGAAGCTATAATTTTGACATGTCATGAGATGACCTGACTCATTGGAACACACAATAATGCCTGATAAAACTGAAGACAGTAAAAAACAGGAAAATCACATTACTAGTGGATTGATTCAATCATGGCTGCTGATGATCAAGGTATTTGGAAGTCTCCTATTCATAGAGTCACCATGGCATATACCAGGTATGGGCACACTTGGTCCCTCCGGGTGTTTTGGACTTCAACTCCCACAATTCCTAACAGCCAGTAGGCTGTTAGGAATTGTGGGAGTTGAAGTCCAAAACACCTAGAAGGCCAATGTTTGCCTGTGCCTGGCATAAACCATGCAAGCAACACAAATCAAGAGTAATGTCACCAAGTATAATATTCCGCTGTGTAAAAATCTTTATAGGATTTTGCAAAAATTTGGCTTGATTCTAGGTGTATCCCCCATGCCCAAGTAATTTCCTTTGTTGACATCATTCCTACCACTGTGACTTTATAATGTTTTAAAGCTTTACCAGCCAGATAATGCCACTTTCACAAATTCAAGGCACAAATCCATTCCCAATAACTCTATAATGCCGTTCACTACACAAATCACCACCACTACTACCTTACACAGTTAAAATACACAAAAGTTAAAAACAGATATATATATATATAATGTAGACCTATAATGCTGATCTTAAAAAAAACAACTGACATGATCAATTACATCCTATAATTGACAACTGGAGCAGAGGATTGTCTTAACTTGGTACCAAAAAGTAGTTAATGTTTGGGCCAGATAGACTGCAGAAGGGTAGTATTCCATTGCTGGTAATAACTCATAACTGGTGACCGCATCTTGTCCTGCCACATACAAGCAATCAGTTTAATAAAATAAGTTGTTAAAATCTGTCAATTTACAATGTTGCCTGCTTCTGGGTTAAAAACTTTGCAAGGGTGATGGTGAGAAAACAAATGTTAGTATATCACCTACACTTTAGAAGGCTCCTCCGATCTGAGGGTGCTGGTATCACTTGATAGGGCACCATTGTGATCCCTGAAAACAAAAAGTATTTGTGTTACAGTCAGCCCTCCATATCCACAGATTCTACATCCGTGGATTCAACCATCCATAGCTTGAAAATATTATCTATCTTTTTGATTTTGCTATTTTATATAAGGGGTACTATTTTGCTATGCCACTGCATATTGAATGTCCATCCACGGATTTTGGTATCCACAGGGAGTCCTGGACCCAAACCCCAGTGGAAACCAAGTGCCCATTATATGTATTCTATACCCTTTGAACACTCTGAACTTGTGCTTTGTAAAAAGGTCCGATCTCACGCTTAGTGCCGTGGACACAGCTGATTTTGAGCTTATTTTTTAAACACTTGAGTCACAGTGGATGACTTTCTATTCTTCACTATCCCTCGAAGTTCTTGATAATCAATATACATCTGTTTCAATGTACTGTAGTAAACAGTAGGGTGTTTTGCATTGTAGCACCTTTCAGACTAACACATTCATTATGAAATAAGGTTATAAGCCTTCCAGATCGATAGTCCACTTTATCAGTTGGAAGAATGTATAGTCTAATTACAGCTACACACATCAGAATAGGTTTACCAATGGGACTGTAGACAATGAGGTCAAAGGGGTATTAAACTTATAAAGTACTGCCTGTGATCATTACATTATTAATATTGGCCACCCACACAATGTAATGCAAATCCTCTGGCCTTCAATTAGTTGGTAAACACAAGATAATGTGATAAAACAATTACGCCTCCGTTTACATCCCTGCACCCTACTGCTGAATTTTAATGCAGTAATCTTTTGCTCTAATCTCCCTTTGAAGTTTCTTTGCTTCAGTAAACCTTTATTTTCTGAGTTATTTTCCCACATTTGTACCCAGTAGAGGTCATAACATAAAGCCAGGTGCCATTGCCTAGAAATTGAGACACTAGAATAGCTTGGCACGATTGCAAAAGCAGCTTCTCGTAGGAGTTTCTCTCAATCTCAGTTTACAGTTGTATTTTACTGCAAAAGTAGAAGTGGTTCAAGCTGTGCCAGAAAAGGGCAGAACAATGTTGTGAAGAGCTTTGACAAATCTCCTTTCTTGTGTAGACGGCATCAGAAACAGTACTCTGGGAGTGCACCCAATCTGCCATGTGATGGAACTTTATATAAGAGTCGAACAAAAAGGTCAACTATAGGTCTTCTCTTGGAACATGGGTTAAAACTATTTGTGTGTCTGAAAACATTATTTTATAATAGCATCCCTTATTCACCAAGAACTTCCCACAAGCAAACTCAGGCTCCACTGAGTTACTATTAACTCCAGCTCCACCCTTCACCAAATACCATAACTAGAGTCATCAGATCAGAATCATCTCAGGCCCTCAAATCTCTGGGCAAAAACATGAGACCTAGGGCTGGACTCTGGTGATGACATTGGTGATGTAACTAAGCATTATGCATTAAACCGAAACAAGATCTGGTCATAGACAGAACACATTTTTCTGGTTGGAAATTAATTGTATTTGTAACTGTGACATCTTGACACCTTTGCAAGTATAGTAAGCTACACGTCAGTTAGAAAGCTCTGGAGGTTTGCATGCAACCTTGTCTCCTGTCTGGAGCTGACCCTGTGAAAAGTGGAGAACCTAAACCTTCTCCTTTCACTTGGAGGCAAATCATCAAAACTGGGGACTCTGTGTGGCATGCTAAGATCTCACAAACCTAGCCATAATATAGGAATTTGAGTAGGGTAGAGGCTAAGCGTGGTCCAACATTCTGTTTCCCAAAACAGGTCAATTTGCCATATTTGGGGAACCCATAGACAAGATGCGAAGGCAACAGCAATCTCTCCAACTCATTCTTCTCAACAAGTGAAATCCAGAGATATATTGACTCTGATGCAATATGTACCATTATGATCAGTAGCTACCACCAGTATTGCTCTCCATTCATTTGTTCAATTTCTTGCTGCCACTATTTATTTATTTATTTATTTATTTACGCTGTTTCTATCCCGCCTTTCTCAAGCCTGAAGGTGACTCAAGGCAGCTTACAAATTGGCAGCAATTTGATGCCATAACAATTTACAGCTTGAGCCTCTCTTGGCTGGCATTCCAAAATCCAAAGTATTCCAATAAGCCAAATTGTCCACAAGGGAGGCTGAGATAGTAACACCTTTACTTTCTGATGATTCAATGTTCAAACATTTTACTTCATGCACAAAATTATTACAAGACAGGGGTCCTTTTCCCAAGATATTATGAACTAGCTGTCCCCTGCCACGCGTTGCTGTGGCTCAGTCTGTGTATATGTGTTTTGTGTGTGTATATGTGTATATATGTGTGTTTGCGTATATACGTGTGGTTTTGCACATGCGTTAGTGTATTTTTTATTTTTTGGCTTTTTAAGTCTCTTCTGATGTGTTTTTCAGTGTTTTTATGAGTGATGGTCACTTGTTGGCTTGATAGGTGTATTGTGTCCAACTTTCATGTCAATTCATCCAGTGCTTTTTGAGTTATGTTAATCCCGAACATTACATTTTTATTTATATAATGTATAGGCAAATACGGGTACTCAAAATTAAAAAAAAATCCCTGACATTTCTTGTCTCAAGCATTTCAGAAAAGGGATACTCAGTCTGTATAACAAAAACTCTCCCTATCCATTTTATGTAGGCATCATGCATATATGTATCATCATATACGTGTGTGTGTGTGTATACAGACACATACATGGTCTGTCTGTCTGTCTGTCTGTCCGTCCGTCCGTCCGTCCATCCATCCATCTTACTTGACTGGTAATCTTCCTCAGAGGAGGCCTATTCCAACCCTATTTAGTTGTCCCTTTCTTCACTTTTCCAGCTCTCCATAGTTCCAGCTTTTTGAGAGGTAGGGGTGACCAGAAATATTAATTGTGGTTCAAACGAGGTTGTACTATAAACTGCATAGCATTATTGAAAGGTTGACATGTTTGTTTCCCATTGATCCCTTTCTCAACTCACCTTTCTGAAGCACTTTGTTAATAAAGCACAGCCCAATCATGGATATCTGGGATTTCAAGTCAGTGAGCGTCTGCTTAAGCCCTACGAAACTGGTGGGTTCCTCACATTTCAGACCGATCAAAGCTTCTATACAACCAGACATTTTCTTAGTTTTGGGGAAGTCCTGTAGGAAGAAATGGGCTTTAGAAGTCGTTGTTAGTGGAACTAGGACTCTGGGAGACCTGGATTCAAATTCCTGATCAGCCAAGGAAGCCCAGTGAGTGACTCACCTTGAGCGAGAGAAAGGCAACAGCCGACTTTCCCAGAATAAATCTTGCCAACCCCGTATGAGTGTGATGTAATGGTTTGAGTGTTGGGCTACAACTCTGGAGACCAGGGTTTGAATTACGCCTTGGCCATGGGAGCCTGTGGCACGATCTTGGGCAAGTCATGTTCTCTGGGTCTCAGAGGAAGGCAAAGGCAAAATTTCTCTGAACAAATCTTGCCAAGAAAGCCCTATGATAGGTTTATGTTAGAGCTGTCATAAAGCAGAAATGACTTGTAGGCACACAAGAACAATGGGGTTTGTGGAGGGAACCATTAAATATGCTAGAAATGTATCTTTGTCCAAAAGGTGTCATGGGATTATTTTAAGGATTTCATCACATTGATGAGGGCATGGGAGGTGATTTATCAGACTCCATGGCAAATCTGTGGGGCAGCGGAGCAATCCTGTCGCCCTGCGCCCTGCCTCTCCTGCAGCAACACTTCTCCATCAAATGTGGGAAGCGTCCTAGAACGCTACCAGGAGGCTTCCATTATGGAGCCCCACTGGAAGTTGCCGTACATTGTGTGATGGCATCTAGTGGGCTCCAAGGAGGAAGCATCCTGGCAGCGTGCTAGGACACCAATTTCTCCTGGTGTGATGAGGTTGTAAATCTTTTTATGATAAAGCAGACTGACAAGGCTATCTCTTCAACTCATATAGTACATAATTGTTTTTATCTCTTATTTCTATGATTCAGGTGGAATCACTGGCTGCTTATTGGTTATACTGAGGGTGAAGCTTGAAGCAACATACTGCCAGAAATCCATGCTTGCTGGGATAAAGATAAAGGTGAGACACAAGTTGAAGAGGTAAGCCAATCCTTCCTACTCTTTACAAATCCTTTTGTGAGGATGGTTCAAACTGTGCTTATTTACATTTCTAAAGCCTGAATCAGGAACAAAATGTTTACAAGCAAACTGGGAAGCATTAGCAGGAGATCAATCTCTCTCTCTCTGTGTTACAGGTCTCCTTCTTTGTTGCAACATAGTCAGACTCTGAACATTTATCTCAAGTACCCAGCTTGTGAAGAAGTGGCTGGAAATATTACAGTACTGATCTTGCAGGTTGTCGGAAATCTAGAGTAAATCCAAAAAAATACTTTCCCAACTTGAAAAGGGGATACTGGATTGTCAATTGATGAAGGTCAAGAAAAGACTGCACAAAAGGAGTGCTTGTTGGGTGGGATGGAGGTGGAAGAAGAACAGAATAGCAGGAGGATGTTGGACAGGTCCTGGGAAGAAAAGAAAGATGACAGTAGAACAAAACAAAAGGAAATGAAACCCTGCAACACACCAACCCTGAATTCTTGGATAAGTGATGCATTTGGGAGAACCAACATGATATGCTATTAAATGTATGACTTCCAGATTAACCTAACAAAGTGGAAACTTTCACAATATAGGTCCTTGTGTTTTGCAAGTTTTGTTGGTTGTTCTTGCCAATGCAGCCACTTGTTCCATTCTGTTTGTGATGATTTCTTGGATCTGCACTAAACCTTTTCCATATGGGGTGGACATGTGGCTCAAAGGAAAAATGTTCTCTTCTCTGAATGTTTTGTTTTGCATATTCATGAAAAAGTGCCACTTCATTGGTGCACTATAGCATTATCATGCTAAAAATCAAAAGAAAAAGGGAGAAGAAAACAAAATATATTGTTCTGAATTGGGTTGTTATAGGTTTTTCAGGCTATCTGGCCATGTTCTAAAAGCATTCTCTCCTGACATTTCACCTGCATCTATGGCAGGCATCCTCACAGGTCTCGCAACCTCTGAGGATGCCTGTCATAGATACAGGGGAAACATCAGGAGAGAATGCTTCTGGAACATGGCCATACAGCCCAAAAAACCTACAACAACCCAGTGATTCCAGCCATGAAACCTTCGACAATACATTGTTCTGAATTGTGACAGAATCATAAAGACAGCAACTCTAGGTGGGAATTAAATGTTACAGTTGATGGAGGGATTTACCAGAAGATGGTTTGGAAAAACATGTACCTGGAGGAGCCCTTGGATGCCTATATTTGCACCTGCTTGCTAAGGAATGCCTTAAGCAAAATTGTCACCTGGCGGTCTCATGGCTGAATTGAAGCTGTGACTTCCTCAGAGTAAGAGTGTGGTGTAAATATAACAAATAATAAACAACATCCTGGGTGGACAAAAATATCCCTAAGAGAACCATCAAGAGCTTATGGTATACTTTCATGTAAAAATGTGAACATTACTGGAAAATATACAATGCCATTGGAATGTAACTGAATGAATGCTCAGCTTCTGTTTTACTGGAGGCTAAACCCACCTATAGCTATTCAGCAAATGTCACCTCTGTGCAGAGAAGACCATTTTTATTTGTGTCTTTATAGTTTGACTTAAATGGGGTAGAGGCCACTTGATCACATAATTTTTATCTCTTGATCTAGATTGTGTTTTATTACTTGTAGTTCTGCAGTGGCTTGACCTTGCAAAACCTCTCCTCCCTATTCAAACAAATAACAAAAAACATAAACTCTTTTTTGCACCTCCATCACAAAAGGAGAGATTCTCTGCTGTTTGCTGCCTAATGCACCTATAGTCTAGATCCTGGAAAATTTCCTACCTCACCTTGCTGTAGTCCAAAAAAGGAACTTCCCCAAGCTCTGCAATAAATTATGAAATCCAAGTTGCAAAGCCAACTGCTTGGGTCAGTAGCTGATGCAGACTTTAGAGGAGAAGACTGTTTTGTAAACACAGAATGGGAGAGATCGAATGATGGGCAGGTCACGGATATTAGCATTAAGGCTGGTCAAGTGAAAACACCCATAGCCTCCCATGTGTTCCTGGCACTCTTCCCAGGAGAGTAAAGAGGAAGAAGTTGGGGCTACTGTTGAAATGTGAAGGTTTCTCAGCCATAGGGGAGTCAAAGTCAAATACCCTCAAGTTGACGTTGACTATCCTGTGCCTGAGAAACCTTCAAGTCCTCCCAACATCAACAGCTCTCCTCAGATCTTGCAGGCAATCTAATAAAGCCCTGTCCCACCAGATAAAACTGTGATGGGGATTGGACAAGCACCTGTGGGAACCTTCAGGGATAACTAGCTATTAAACGTTTTGATCAGTTTTTCACTCCTGTACCCAGGATGAATGAATGCTTTGCAAGCCAGGATTACTACAGACCTCCACCACACTTTTCTCTGGCTTCACCCTAGTCAGGTATAGCTCACAGTCTTTTAGTTCTCATGTGTGTGTTTCCAAATTGCCTACTGACCCCGCGGACTTCATAGGTTTTTCATGGGCAAGGAGTATTTAGAGGTGATTTTGCCAATGCCTTCCTCCAAATTATCCTACAGCAACTGGGATTCCTTGGTGGTCCTCCTTCAAAGCACTCACCAGGGCTGGCCATTTTTAGTTTCTGAGAGCAGAGGGGATCTGGTGATGGCTGGGAGTTTTATCTCTCGTAGTTAAGTTTTATCATTATAGTCCAAAATGTTGCTTTTCCAGGACCTGTTCTTCATGCGAAGGGGGAAGATACGGTTCACAATAGGTTCAGCATTTGTGACTTCTCAAAAATCATAATTTCTCTTACTAATAGCTCAAAAATCATAATTTCTCTTAATAATGCAATTTGACCTGTAAATTGTGTTCCAGCTTTTGAGTCTGTTTCTCTTTATAGTAAACCTGTGGGACATATATATTACATATGTAGAATGGGAATGAGAAAGAGATTCTAGGATGTGCAAAGGAAGATCTGAGTTGTCCAAGTAAATCAGCTTTCTCTGACTGCAAGTGGTTCTTCAGCTGGGAATGGTCTTTCCCATCCATTGATATCTCAGAATAACTCATTGTGACCCTGCTCATACCTTTGGGCCTATAGCTTGCATCAGCTTTAGGCAGCATACCAATGATGAGGGATATTGGGATACAGTCCAAAAATACCTGGAAGGCCACAGATGCTCACTTTCGTTCTGTCATGGCACAAATATTTGGTTTTTTAACTGTTGTATTTGTCTTGTTTTTACATTGCATTGGGTTGTCATGTTATTGTTAACTGTCTTGAGTCCCTACGGGTAGAAACGTGGGATAGAAACAAAGTAAGTAAATTATTGTTTGGCTGGAGAAAGACTGCTAAGGACTGAGTGAACATTCAAGGACTATATGGCTTGCTATCACACTGTGGACTCTCTCCATATTGAGAGCCATTCTAGGAGTTTCTTCCTCCAATACTTGCATTTCACCCACAGGATCACATTTGGAAATGTCATGAAGATGTGTGCCACTTTTTCTGCCTCAGACGCCACCAAAGTCAGACCTGCCACTATCTGAATGGGTCCCAGGAGACCACACCACAGTCGCAGGCAGCAGCAGCAGTCCTCCTAATGTATCCTCCAGACACGGATAAGGAGAGAAAGAATGTGTGAATCATACCTGGAGGAACCGATAGTCACTTGATTCGTCAATCAGTGTCGCCAGCCAGAGGTTTTGCCTCCTGAGATTGGCCAGCTGATCTTGCCTGTGCTGAATGGAATTCCCCATTCCAACCAAGGCGGATTTTTCTTCCTGGTCTATGAAGTCCATCACTTTAGTCTGTTGTCGCTTGACCTCTTTGAGCACATCAGCAAAGGCCCGATTCACTTCATCTCTAGCTGCTTTGACCACTTTCTGAGAGGGGGAGGAGAACACTTGAAGGGGAAATCCACAAAGTAACTACAAAGGCTAGATGGATTAGAGCCAAATGGACAAAAACAATTTGCGTAGACATGGAAAATGTTGCAAGTTTCTAGTGGTTTAAAGTTAAGATAAACATGTACAAAACATTCTGAGCCATGCTCCCAAAGCTCTTGTATGATAACAGCTAGAACATCGAAACAAGACAAAAAACACAAGTGTGACATACAATCTGCCCTATAGATTCAGCAGATTCAGCCACCCATGGCTTGTAAATATTCCAAAACAATAACAGTTCCAAAATACAAATATTTATTTTGACATAGTCTGAATAAGGATTATGGATCAATCAATAAGTATGAAATCAAAACTCAGCACTTTACATGTTTTAATCCGTTTTGTTGTTCTATTTGCTTATGTGTTTAGTTGTTATAATTTGATGCGGTATGTTTTTATTGTTATGTTTATATGAGGCATTGAATTTTTGCCGGAGTCTGTAAGCTGCCTTTAGTGCCTTGCGGGGTGAGAAAGGTAGGCTATAAATGAAGTAAATAATTGATTTTGTCATTTTATTTCAAGGAGACCATTTTATTATATCATTCTTTATAATAGGACTTGAGCAACAATGGATTTTGTTATCCACAAGGGGATCTGGAACCAAATATCAGCGGACTCCTAGAAGCCTTTGTAGACAGTTTGGAAACAGTGCTTGCTCCTTATTGGCGAATGTGTATGTCATGCCCTTTTGCTGTTCAATTGTTGGCATTATATGTTTTTGTAAAAATTCTACATACATTTGGTTTAATTGCTAATTTGGAGTGAAACCTTGGATTATGAAATCATAGTTGACCTGGCAATATGTATTTGAATGACCGAGTTCAGACCACTATCAAAGTCCATTCATGAAATAAATAAATAAATAAATAAATAAATAAATAAACTCTAAAAGGATTTTTAAATATTGCGTCCGCATTACACCATACTTTCATTTCTGTGCCTCTGCACTAAAACATTCGAATCAGTAAGAAGCCACCCTCAAAACAGACCTCCCCTCCCTCCCTCCTCACATTTCAGCCTGAATTTCTCAGTAGCATCAAATGGCAACAGGTTTTGCTGGTTTGGTGTAAAGGCAGCTGTACACTGTACTAACAAGGACTTGGGATATCACACTGCCAACTTCCTCCTTCTCTTGGGAGTGGAGGCTTTTTACATTTAAGAAATGATTTCTTAAAAACACACACATACACTCTAAAAAAACTGTTTAAGACTCAGTGGTTCTCAGCCTGTGTGTCCCCAGGTGTTTTGGCCTACAACTCCCAGAAATCTCAGCTAGTTTACCAGCTGTTATGATTTGTGGGAGTTGAAGGCCAAAACATCTGGGGACCCACACGTTGAGAAACACTGGTTTAAGCAGATAAGCTTGCTAAGTGGGCTTATATTTTGTAAAAATATAATCAGCATGAAAAATAAGAGCAGAAGAGGAGGACGTTTTCAGTTTTCAGTCATGAGGCAGCCATATATTTTGTTTGAGGAGCAAAGTCATGATGAAGAGGAGAGCTTACCATACTGAGAGTTGGGGAAAAGCTACTTTTCATAAACAATAGTTCCCAGATCTTCTATTTGGCTAATGACGATGATGGCTGTGGGGTTTGGTGGGTGTGTGTGTCCTGGGATGACTGCTAGACTTGAAGGAAAAAGTCTGTATCTGTCATAGCTGTGTGTTTGCATTGTTTACATAGAAAATGTAAAGAAGGAAAGGCTACTTATTACCCAAGAAATATTGTCTAATTCTTTCATGTTTTTTTGTACTACAAATAAGTTATGTGCAGTGTGCATAGGAATTCGTTCATGTTTGTTTCAAACTATAGTCTGGCCTCTCAAACAGTTGGAGGGACCGTGAACAGGCCCTCTGTTTAAAAAGTTTGAGAGCTCCTGGTTTATAGCCAATCTGAGACTGGGCTACATGCCCAATCAACAGAGCAGTAGGAAAAATATGTTCAACATTTATTCACCCTTGCAGGATGACTACTGTACCCTCCATCTTCAGACTCAAAGTATCCGGTGAATCTATACTATGCAAGTAGACACACTAACCTACAAAATTTTATATATCTAGTGGCCATACATGCCATAGAGACTTTGCAGGGTGTGTCACATACACAGTTTCACCCCTTCTTTGCTGAACTGTCTCAGAAGCTTTTCTCACCTCAAGGTAATTCACTCTCCCTCTGTGTTTGTGACTGTCTGCAACCAACATGAAGATCTGGTTTCCCACATTGGCATGTATTTGCCTGACCTCCACCTGGAAAAGAAAAAGAAATAATAAGAACATAGAAAGCAGCAGGTTGGAAACCACTACTTCATGTACATCTTTAAATGTAGTCCCTAGTACTCTTGCGGTTTCTCAAACATCCAGTGTGCTGAAGTATTATGACTCAACTCTGTGGACATCTGCAACAAGGATATTGCTCTTTAGATGTTGCTGGATACCAACTCCCACCAGCTTAACTTAGTGTGGTCAAGGACTGGGAACAAGGCAATGGTAGCTCGGCACAGTCTCAAAACAGAATAGTACCTACTGGACAACGGTTCCAAGGTACCAGGTCTGAAGGAAGACTAACTTAGGCACTACCATTTTTTTCTAATGGAGCTTGGAAGTAGAACTCAAAGTCATAGCCATGTCCATCTGGATTTATTTATTTATTTACTATATTTGTATACCACTTTTCTCAGCCTGAAGGATCAGTATGCAATGGGATCTTGAGTACGGTTCCATTATCTGGACGGAGGCAACAAGAGGGCGCTAGATAGAGAAGGCTAGTCCATTTTATGCGGGGGGGAGTTGAAGGAGGAAAACCATTTTCCCTGGTTATTCCCCCACCACACTTCCCATTTCATAAACGAGGGTTGTTTCCACAACGGGAACATTGGTGTGGGAATAACAGGAAAACAGGGGGTATTGGTTTTCCTCCTTCAACCCACCCTCCCCTCCCTCCATAAAATGGACTATACTTCTTTCTCTAGCACCCCCTTGTGGCCTCTGCCCAGATAATGGAACAGTACTGCATCTTGTAGTATCTTTTAGATTAACAGCTGAGAAAGAAGTTGGGAGCAGAGCTTGGAAGTAATGCATTAAGTACAGTGCAATTATTCACCACTATAGTTGGTGATGAGGTTCACCGACATTACGTTTGAAAGGTTATAATGGCATCTGTGTTAACAGTAAGTTTGTATTTGTGTCATAATTAATAACATTCACCCATAATAGAGAAAACGTTATTGGGGGTATTTGGGAAGGCAGTTGCTGATGATGGGGGCTAGATTAATATATATGTTACTCATGGGACAGCAAAAGAATAATCAGGAATGTGTTCACTTTTCAAAATAATGTTTCAGCCTCATCACACTAGAGAATGAATCCACTTTAAATCCAGTTTCTGCCTCCTGCAGAATTCTGGGTTTCGTAGTTTATTGAGACCCAGAACCTGCCTGGCTGAGCAGTTTAAAGGCCCCCTCCTTATAAACTACAAACCCCAGAATTCTGCAGGAGGCAGAAGCCAGATTTAAAGTGGATCCATGCTCTAGTGTGATGAGGGCCACCATTGTTTTAAACCTTTTGTATGTGCTATCAATTATTTTACTGGGGCATCTAATAAATGTATGTGGAAGTTATATCCCAGTGAGACTTCACTGAATTTTATAGTTGTGTGTCCTCTGTGTAACTTCTTATATGTTTATTACTAATGGATTGGAATTAGAGAGCTACATTTAAAGCAGAAGTATTGAAATCAATGAGACTTTTTTAGTAATATATGTCCCATTGATCTTGGACGGTGTAATCTAAGTGCAGCTAGTTTCCAAATATTCTAATCTAATCCAATCATCCCCCCCAAACAAAACAGAAATGAAGCAAGAGGGCTTAATTTAAAACAACAATACACAAGGGGATATGCGCTTTCACTGCAGATATCCTCTCTTTTTGCTTGCTTCAGACCTTAGGATCATATCAGGTTTCTGTGGCATTGATTATTCTTTTATGCCAACTGCAATAACAGCATCTCCCTGCAGTGATAAGCCAGTAACTATGAGAGTTTTACTGCTTGTTCTGGGTCAAGAAGATAAGTTTGATGTGATTGCTTTCAGTTCTTCAGACAATATCTAAACCTTTTCTAAAGAAAACCTAGAGTTTATTTTCTCTATTTTCTCCCATTCTCCTTCCAGGGGATGCAAAGAACATAAAACAGATTTCTCAGCATGCAAAATGAAGATGCAATGCCACCCTCAGTTCAAACAATGTGGGTTCACATTAAACTTGGCTGAGGGCTGCACAATGTTCCTCCAGTGAGGAATGCCTGATAGGCTAAATTTCTATATATATGCAATTTGTAAGATTGGAAATAACAATTTGGAGAGTGTTAAAGAGGGTTTAATGAAATCAGTGAAGCTAAGCCTTGGGATGACTTCTGCTAACAATGAGAATGCTTTTGAACAACTGTTTGTAAAAAAACATGAACAGAAGCTACTGTTGGATTCAAGACCTTTTTGCAGACCTCCAAAAGGAAAATGGTTGCTCAATGTGGGAACAGAATCCTGGACTAGATAGTGAATTCTAATCTAATACATATTGAATATTATTATTTTTAATGTTGCCCCACTTCCCAAATACCACATTTGATGAGGTTAGGAGCACAGGACCCCTGTGAAAAATTATGAATAAAGAAATTCCTTATTTTGACCTGAGAGATCATCTATCTAGGAATGTATAGGTCTTCCGGTACGACTCAATGGAAAGCTGGCCACAGAATTGCATTGGAGGACCAAGAAATTCCCAGAGAAATGCTTTCACTAGCTATCTCTAGATTCTCCTTACAGCAAGACTGGAAGAAGTTGACCATAGAGTCATGCTGGAGGAGCTTGAGATAACATTTTGAATCAAATTCACAAATAATCAAATCTGCAAATGAGGAGGGATGAATCTATCTATAACACTCTTTCACCAAATGGTGGAATTATCAACATATACAGACACAATAAATACACAACCTGCTTCCATATTCATGGAGGGTGAAGGGTGCATGACTCCATGAAAGTATGATAACTACAGATATTATAACATGTGTGCTCCAGACTGCTTTCCCAACAAAAGCCCCTGACTATCTTCTCTTTCCCACCTCACTACAAAACCGCAGGCAAATTTTAAACTCAACTTAATGATCCACAGTATAAACTGAAGGTCCAGATCTTAATATGCTTCAGCATTGACAGAGCTGACAGCCTCATCACACTAGAGCATGGATCCACTTTAAATCCTTTTTCTGTCTCCTGCAGAACTCTGGGGCTTGTAGTTTAGGGAGGGGCCTTTAAACTGCTCAGCTAGACAGGTTGTGGACCTCATTAAACTACACATCCCAGAATTCTGCAGTAGACTGAAACCTGATTTAAAGTAGATGCATGCTCTAGTGTGATGAGGCCATGAGTGTGTGTCAGTAGAGCAGATGATAATCCATTGCCTTTGGATCTTAAATGCCTAGATGTTGCATGCTATGCTAGCCAAGCTGTCAGGTACAGAGAAGATTAAAGTGCAGAGCCTCAAGAATACAAAATCTGAAACAGGCGCTGGTCCAAACTGTTAGCCAAGAAGGAGTCTAAAGAGGGGTAGGAGATGCGTGGGTATTTAGGAAGATTTAAAACACCCCAGACAGCAGAGAGGAAGATGAGAGCTAGAGTCACCAGTGGAAGCTGGAACCAGTTCCTGTCCTTTTAATGGTTGTGTAGAGGAGGGGATTTCAGCTGGTACTGCTTGTTGCTTGGTTGTATGACAAATGATATTTGTTGGAGTTCCCTCTTCTACACAACCATAAAAAATGAGGGAGTTGTCTCCAGTTTCCATTCTGACAATCCTAAATTTAAGAGGTGTGAAGTAACTTGTTCAAGGGAGGCAGTTATCCTGGAAGCCTTGCACCCTCCTCGGTGTTGTCAACGTTATTCTTATGATGAAAGGCACAATACTCACTTCGGCCTTGACTCTCTCATCTTTGAGAGAGACGGCTTCATGGTTCTTGTGCTCCTCCCGGATGCAGGTTTGGCAAATGAATTTTCCTTCTATTTTGCAGAATAGCTCCAGCAGCCTGCGATGTTTCAGGCAGATGTTGGCCTTCAGGTCGCTGAGTGGATCAACCAGCTGATGGTTCTTGAAGGTCTTGTCTTCGTAGTGGGATCGGATGTGGTTGTCGCACAAGGCGGCCATGCACTGCAGGCAGGACTTGACGGCTTTGAACTTCCTGGTGGCACAGAAGTCGCAGGGGACGTCCTTCGAGCTGGCCGGCTTCCTGGACACCTGGGCCTCCTCGCGAACAAACTTCATGGCGATCTCTCCCAAGGTGATGTTCTTGCGGAGCTGAGGCCTTGAGCTGAAGGGCTCCCGGCACTGGGGGCAGTAGGGGCACTCCCCAATCAGGACCTGGTGGTCCCAGTAGTCTTGCAAACAGTCGATGCAGAAGTTGTGCCCGCAGGCGGTGGTGACGGGGTTTCTGAACACCTCAAGGCATATTGGACATATAATATTGTCTTTCAGGAAAACAAAGCCTGTCTTCTTCATTGTCAACGGAAGTGTTTTGGGAGAACTGGGACACAGTCAATACATGCAGGCTCAAAAGGGTTTGGAAAGTATGAAAAGGAGGAATGCGACCTGTTTTTAAGGGGGGGAAAACCTAAGTTTATTAATTGTATCAGTTTTAATTGATTGATTAGACAGCATTTAACAGGATCAATACTCTGGGAGAAAGGTAACACTTTATCTCTCTTTTTCCCCTAGATGAGCCATGATATTGTTTTTATGATATTTGCTCTGATACTGTGATATGTTTTTACCTGATTTCATTTTATTGATTTTATTTTATTGTGCTATGTTTTAATTCTGTATATTTTTTCGGGCTTGTCCCTTTATAAGTCGCCCCAAGTCCCTTCAGGGAGATGGAGGTGGGGTATAAAAATAAAGTATTATTATTATTATTATTATTATTATTATGAAAAAATGCTACTCATTTTATAAAAGGAATCATGGGTCCTTGATGATAATGTTTCCCTGCTACAGTTTGTGTAAACATTTATATTTAAAACAACTATGTTTAACTCATGTGCTGGTGGATCAGCTGACAGTAGTTTTTTTTAGTACAACAAAGGTTTTTTAATTCAGTTTAGACAACTTATTGTTGCAACCCCGCTATTAGAAAATACAGGTTGCGTGACCTTTCAATCACTTTATATTTGATGATATGCTGTAGAAAGTAAAATACAGTCAAAAGCATTGTTTTGAGCTATAAAGTAGGCCCTCTGCTTTTGTGAGAGTTGGAGCACAGGGCTACTGTGAAAATAGGAAAACTGTGAATTAAAAATTGATTTTATTACCTGAAAAAACACTTTCCAAGGACTCTCTGGGTCCTCCAGGGTGACACTACTGCCAACCTGCTGGAAGCTGAGTTTCAAATTACATTGCAGGATCTAGTCTTAGAAGTTAACCATAGTCACCTTGGAGGATCTAGAGTTTACTAAAGAGAACATATTAATTAAATATGCAAATAATCGAATCCACAAAAGTTAGATCTTTGAAAGCGGAGAGCTAACTATATGTGGATTTTAAAGCCACACTGTTCAACATGTAAAAATTTGGTATAAATGATGCAAAGTTTTAATTTAGTCAAACACCAATAGGAATTTTGGGCAAAATGCATAGTTCTGTGGAAACCCAACAGGTTATGTTAGGCAAGTTATTACTTTTTCACCCTAAAAGAAAGGTAGTGGCAAACCTCTTCTGAATAAACCTTGCCTATGATAGTGTCACCATCAATCAGTGTCCATTTGAAAGCACAGAACAGTTGACACTGTTTGAAACTATTTGTTCTCGAGATCTAGCTCCCTGGAAATACTGACCAGAGGTTTTCAAGTTGTGTTCTTCTTGGCTTGAAACAGCAACTCCTACTGAATTCCTGTCCCTTGGCATCCTCTCATGGGGGTGTGGGGGTGCCTGGACTTGCCAGGTGACATCACAGTTCAAATTACAAAGGAGGGGGAGTTAAACTCTCTGGTTATGATGTCATGGCCAGGCAGGTTCAAGTACAACACCAAAGATCATTATGTAGTGCATACACAATGAGATGTCTTTGTTTTTTTATCACTTTTCTTTGATTTGTCTTTTTGCATTCAAATGGGTTCCCCACACTCCCTGACACACCCACAATGCGTGGCAATTTCGACAGCCAGTATGAAGAAGTCACTAGTAGACCACAAGCTGAACAAGAGTGTTATGTGGCAATGGGATTTTAGGGTGCATGAATAGGAATATAGTGTCTAGATTGAGAGAAGTCATCGTCACACTCTGTTCTGCTTTCTTCAGACCTCATATGGAATAAGAACATGTCCAGTTCTGGGCACTGCATTTCAGGGAGAATATTGACAAGCTGGAACATATCCAGGGAAAGTAAATCAAAATGATCAAAGCTTTGGAAGCCAAGCCCTATCAGCAGCTGAAGGAGCTGATATGTTCAGCTTGGAGAAAAGGAGGCTAAGAGAAAACATGCTAGCCACGTTTTAAAATGTGAAAGGGTGTCACATTGAGAAGGGGAGGAAACTTGTTTTCTGTTGCTCAGGTGACTAGGTTCCAAATAGCAGGAAAAAAGATTCCACCGAAACATTCGGTTAGGAAAAACTTCCTGGTGCTAAGAGCTGTTTGGCAGTGGAATACACTGCTGCCTTGGATCATAGCGGAGTCTCCTTCTCTCAAGGGCTTTAAGCAGAGGCTGGATGGCCATTTGTCAAGTCTTCTTTGATTGGAACTTCCTGCACGACAAAATGGGTTTGGACAGGATGTATCTCGTGGTTTCTTGCAATTCTATGAATCTAAGAATAACATTGAATAGAACTGACAAGATGATATGGACGGCAAGCCAGATAAATCTGGAAGCCTTCAAATTTGTACAATAAATGGGATTCTAGAGGCAGACGCATATACACTGGAACTTTTTGCAATATTTGATAAACATGTAACCTCAAGTGAAGATTGAGATGTTACTAGGATCATCATTCCGCCTCAGAACAACCCTATAGTAATGCAATAATTTGCTTTGTTTCAGTTTTATCCAACAGATCCTTCTTAGTTACCTTACCTATTTATTTATTCTTGGTGTGCTTAGAAGTGTTGTTCCTACATTGCCTAGGTTTTATTTTGTTGCTGATGAAAGCAATAGATTACCTGTGTTTGGCTACCACACTGTGGCATAAGGAGGAATGCCTTTTAGCAGCATACATTTTGTTATGCATTTTTTTGGGTAAAATAATATTATTACAATATGCTGGTCCATGAACAGCATGGATAGTGCTGGATAAATGTGTGCATCCCCCAGAACTTATTTTATAACGTTAAACTTTCAGAACAATTTCTTACAATTTTAAGTAAAGAAATTATTACAAGCTATACTAAAGTTCACATCGTGGATCATCCAATGCATTAATACAAATTAATTGTGTTGTTTCATTTTCATATGTCCTTCGTGATGTTTGCTTCATATTCAGATTTTAAAAAGAAACAGCAATAGGACTAATCCAAAATGCTTCACATTCCTATGTTTATTTCTTGAGAATGCTTGAGGTCCAGGTTTCCTTCAGGCAGTATGCTACAGGAAGTGGTGGCTCTGACTACTTTTGTTTATAAAACTACAGAACTACAGCTGTATTATATGATTGGAATTACAACAGTGGAAGGAATGGTTCTAAAGTATTTTATCCAAGATGTGATTTATCTATAACAACAAAACAGCTTCTGTCATGTTTTCAATGTGTGTCAAGTAGCTAGACAATGTAAACTATCAATTGACCTACGTCACGTAAGTACTCGGTGTAAGCAATTGACTTCTGTCAAGTAACTAGATAATATAGACAAATGTAACTAGATAATGTAAACTAATATAAATTACTGCATATATCTTTATATCCCACTTTTTCCTAGAAATAGGATTGAGGGCAGTTTTGTCTCACAATTCCTGCTTTTTATTATTTTACATCATACTGCATTGCTCAACATGTTTGCAAAGTTTAAGAGGTATCAAGCTTTCTATAGAACTGTGGCAACAGAAGTCACTTTCTAAGCTCAACAATGCTTGATTTTAAGGAGAGCCTTCTTGGTGGCTGCTCCCTTTCCAGAGAAGTCAAGATTTCCTCCCTTCTAGCAGTAAGACAAGACTTTATTATGAGGGGGTCTTCAATTTTTTTTCATTTTTATATTTTTGCTGGAAGCGGTGAGTTGGAAAAGTAATTACTTATGTCTGAGAGTATGGTGTGACTAGTCTGTCTGGCTAGCCGGGTGACCTTGCAGTTAAGTATAAAAGTTGTCATGCTGTGGTGAAGATGGCTGTGAAACTTATAGCCTGCATCAGAGGAACAGTATTCTGTCATATACTTTTGTGGACAGGTGGTGTGCCAGGAGCACAGATTCATCTCCGTATATGTGCTCAGTATAAAGTTATCTTTTGTAGAATCATCTATGACTGTAATAATTGAAAATGACCATACTAGTGTGATGGATGCAGAATGCTCCAGATGTCCAACTACAGCCATTGCCAAAGGAATGAAGAAAGAACCCTGGAACAGATTTGCAAAAACAGAAGACAAACAATCAAAGAGGTTGCAGGAAAGTGAATGCGAGCGTAGCATCTGCCTATGCCCTGATTAATAAGAGCCTTAAGTTCAGTAAAGTGTGTGCCAGGTGGATGCCTAGGCAACTACAGAGGAGCATGAAAGCAGCAGTGTATGAGTGGCTATGCACTCAACCAAAACATTTTTTGCTGAGGCCAATAAAAAGTTGGTTCGGCACTAGGGAAAAATGCATTGCAAAGGAAAGTGATGTAATTCGTTTGAAATTCTTAGTAATAGAATTAATAAAATTGCAGAAACCTTTTGAAGTCTGCTTGTATTTTGATAGGCCTTTGGGAACTTACTGCTCATGGAGAAAGGGCTTTCAATACTCATTGTATGGTTGATATTTTTTAATAAAATAGGTATGTTTTTCATTCTATTGAAAATATAATTGTATTTTAACTTTTGTTTACTTTAGTGATGTTAGCCTTTTTTTGTTTTCAATTCTGTAAACTGTTTAACATCTCAGGGCTGGCAAAAAGGCAGAATACACAATAACAATTAGAATAACCAGAAAGTGTTGCTGTCTACTGCAGTGAGGAACAGTGGCACAAGAGACACACCAGCTCTGCAGGACAGAAGAAAACAATTCAGAGGCTCCAGTCATGTCAGAATCTTTATTGGAAAAAAAAAATCACAGCATCTCCATTATTATTCAAACACATTTAATAAACAAAGAGAAACAGTAGCAAAGGGCACTGACATGTGACAAACTGTACAAAACCTCCAGGTTTGCAGGCAAAACCTGAGGGTGAGGAGCCCACGGCCCAGCTGCAGAAGTCCGAGAAGCCGCCTTCCCCCCCTTATGGGAGCCCCCTCCCCTCGGACCACTCAGTCACCCCTGAGAAAAATTGATTAAAATGTTCAGAAACAAAGACACTTTTAAGAGAAGGTTAGCTCCAACCTTGCTGTAACGGAACAATTGGCCACTGGGAGAATGGTCTCCAGGGGCTAGCTAATGACTTATAGAAAACCTCAAGAGATGCAAATCTTTCAGATGAATACCCATCCTACCATTTGCTTCTCTTTCCATTGACTGTCTTCCATAGGAGAAACTGACATTTTAATTTTTTTTCTTTCCAGCTTTAACTTAGGAGAAAAAGTGTTGATTGAGTCAAGGCAAATGGAAGGAAAAGCCCTGTTGCTATAAAGGCAGAGATACAACCGATGCAAGACATGGAAGCCAGTTCTTTAAATTAACTTGGCCTGAAGATGCATCTTAGGGTGGGAAAGAGAATACCACAGGTAGATGAGCTGGAATGGAAAGAAGTCCGCAGCTGGATTTCAAGCCCTTAAACCAGGAAAGCCAATGGCTTTCCCAATCCCTAATACTGTTTCTATCCCCAGCTATATAGCTCACCACTCCAGGGAGAGTCTCAATAAGCTTAATTACTTCAATTGAGAATATTTAACATGGGATGGGAAGGAGAAGGCAATTGTGTTCCAGTGAAGGACAAAACCCACTGAAAACCTCCCACTAGCTGACAGCAGCAAGTGGGGTTTATACAACAGGATTGCCCCATTTACCAGTCGGAAACATGGGCTTTTGTAATTAAATTCAAACGTTGCTGTTACCAGAACAGCCCTTCAACCCTGCCACAGCTCACTGACACCCCGATTTTCCTAGTTTTAAATTGAACTGTTCCCAATGGCACAATACGGGCAAAAGAAAACATATATTATCCGGTCTGTTATTCTGACATCAGGCACTCCTCTAATGGGGCTTCCCCATGCATGGTGTTTTTGGTGACCAAAAATAAAGAAATGAGGTATTTGGTTCGGTTAACTAAAGCTACACAGTAAAGTCTCCTTCCAAGCAACCTAACACTGCTACGTGCCCAGCAAGGTGGGGAATGAGTTGGGTTAGGCCATGTTGGAAATGGCAGCTATTCTTGGCATCGTCAGTCTGTTTTCTTTCGCTTAGTTCATACCACCAGCAGCTCACCCTCTCCTCCACCCCTAGAAGGAGAGGTCACGAGGGCATATGTGAATGCTATACATTGGTGGTTTTTAGATTTCCTCACAGCATGTGCACACACCTGGTTATTTCACAGTTGTGCATATACACTGACAACAGCTGAACGTACAAGATACTCAAGAAGTTTATGTACACATCACAGTGTTAGTTAAATCCAGCCAAGACATATAGTCTAACCATGCCAATAGCAACACATTAAAACAGGAAGGGTGGAGCAGGACAAGAACATTGGTTTAACTGAACATACTACAGGAGCCAGCTGAATTTCAACAGTCAGTTAACTGACCTCAAGACTTTGGGTACAGTCTGTTGTTACATAAGCTATTCCAACCTTAACCCACCAAAACACCACTGGAGGTTATGTTGTCAGAACTGGCGGGGAAGCTGTGATATATGCACAGAAACACTGAAGGATAATAGAGGATGCAGAGACAGGGGGAATTGGTGCCAAACTTCCTTTGCTTTGTCCATGGTGAATGTGTTCCATATACCCACTATAACACTTTGCCCATTGTTGTTCCCAGCCCTCACTGTCACCCCTGGTGTCGATATGGAAGAAACGGGATAGGAAGCCTCATTAACCTATAGCATAATACACAAAAAAGACACAGAGTGAAATTTCTTAATGGGAAATCCCAAGCACATCAATTGCAACAAGGAGGTCCTCTGATCACAGGCCTAATATGGGAGCTTTGATTATTGCCAGGGAGACAGACCAAAGCATTCCGGTTTCTCTCAACTTTGGTTCAGTATGCTTGGAGCTTAATCCAAGACCCAGAAGCTGAAAATGACTGACAAAGAACAAAGCCAGGAAGTGGGAGGGAGGTATCATGCAGCCAATGCTTAAAGGATTCCACTTACCAACAAGTAGGAGAGGACATTTCACTGATTAGGGATGGCACAAATTCACTGACAAGATCAGCGAGTCCCATTTGGCTAAGATTAGAATTCAAGAGAGGCACAACATTTTCACATCCATTCAAGGCATTCCAAAGGGGGGAAAAGTTACAGAAGTTCACACACCACTTTGGACAAGAAACATCACAACAGTTTGGCAACTTCCATCACCCCTCCCCCCTCCCCCCCCCCAACCTGTGTGATGCCCCTTAATTATTTGGGAAATGTGATACAATAAGGGGTGGGTGGGGGGTGCAAGCACAGATTAACCATGTGTAAATAAGAGACTCTGTCCATGAATGTATTGGATAAGAGTTGTCAAAGCCTACCAAAATGACTAGGATACAAAAGAAAACCTGCTTTGGTGCAGGACAGCAAGAGAACAAGGGGATCATTTCATGCTGTTGAAGACAAGACAAGGCAAAGCTGAACTTGGCAAGAACACAAATCCTTCAGACCAAAGAGCAACTTTAAAGTAAGCCAAAGGACTAGTTTCCAGGCTCTGGCAGTAGAAAGAGGACACATGTCCCACCCTCCCTTCCTCTGATGCTGAGAAAATGAGACAGTACCACTGAATCTAAAACTTGGGGGTAACCACACATTGTAAGGTGCATGAAGAGTGATGACCACACCACAATATTAGAGATGCCTATAGCTGGTATTCTTAGTGTTATCGGGAGAAAGCCCCTTCATTCAGCCAAGGCCCCAGGTGCACAAAATATGATTACGTTCCCTAATATACAGCCAGTATTAAACCCAAAACAAAACAAAAATGAAAATTTTTGAGGAAGGGGATATTCTTGGTTTAGATGTTCCTTTCCATTTCCATCTTATTTGGATGAATCTTGTTTGAACAAATTTTCTAACGTAGCCCATTAGAACCATTAAAAATGACACTGCTATACCAAATGTCTATTATTAAACTTAAAGAGCCCAAGAATCTGGGCAGCCCTCGCAATAAAAGGCTCTAAAAGAGCTCTCCCTCCCCAGATAAAATTAAACAAAAATGTGAAAAGCCACAGTATTATCAAGACAGAAAGAAAAAGAAACGGTGGGGCAAGGGGCAATCCAGTTGGAAGATTCTCTTCTTTCCTTGCCATAACTTGGGTGGGATGAGCCTTTGGTTTTTACCAGGACTGATTCTCCGTTGGCAGGACAGGCTCAGCTTTGCTTTGTGTTAGTTTGATTACTGTACAAAAGCAAGGTTGGACTGCAGGAGAAATGCCCTGCTCAGCTAGGTTGCCCTTTTGACATCTGGGAGTTTTAAAGCAGATGCTAGGATTACATCCGTGATCCTCGTTCCTGAAGAATCTGGGAAAAGGGAAACAAGAATGTAGCCATTAGCTGGTATTTAGATTAATCTCTTACAAGTCCTGGAAGGAAAATGTAAACGTGAGCTCTCTCATAGCACCGAGGGAGTGATTTCTTAGCCACAGCATCAAAGGGAAACATTAATAACCATGGGAACTTGACTATACCGACTACTATCTAAAAGAACCCCTAATTTAGGTTAGATATTGTCAAATTCAGTCAGTGATTTAAGAGGGGGGAAATCGGACATGCCAAAGAACCGACAGCTGATATCTACAAGGAACAGTCTGCTGCTCTTTGGCAACTGAATCTAAAGTGTCATTGTTTGCCTCCGTAAACATTTCAGGCTTTCCTGCTTTCAAAATATCAAATACTTTAGTTGGATTTCATAATAGGCCATTAGCTCCTGTTTTGTGGTGTATTCAGCCCCTTACCTTGCTCCTACAAGAGAACAACAAATAGCTTGTCCATATCTGCAATTGCATGCATATCATTTACTTGAGATTCCTCCTGAATCGCTATCACTTTTCAGATTCAAGCATCAGTATGACATTTAGGGACAGAGGCTATTGCATAAATATTGTCACAACTGCTTACATGAATCATGGCTATGCAAGGATTACTACACTCACCTTACAGGAGATCAATAAGTTATTTTTCTGAATTCAGCATAGCAATACCAAAGAGGAAATCAGTTTTCCTGCATTTAAGGTTACAATTCTACACATACCTGCCTATAAAAAAACTGGCCGAACTCAATGGGATTACTTTCTCAGTAGACATTACAGAATTGAACTGTGAGCATTTAAAAACTTCCAAGATTATCTCAAAATGTCAAAGAAAATGTAACTGAAAATTGAAAGCCCTTACGAAGTTGTCTATTAGATAAACATACTATTGAGCATTCAAGAGTTTCCTTCAGAGATATTTCACAAGACAACTGACCGATATCCTAAGAAATATCAGCACAACCAGTATAGATTTTCTCTTAAAAAGGTGCTGCAGTCAATATATACAAGATTATTTGTCAAAATTCAAATGATTAGGAGTCACACACTTCACATTACTGAAAACAAGCTGCATTTTATTTTATTTTATTCAATTTCATGTTAAAAGATTAATGCAATCCTCAAGGATAGAGTCCTCACCTTTGCTTTCTCACTAGGTTCTATGACTATGCCATTGGTAGAGTTATTGAGCTCTCTGGATACAACACAGAGAAATTCTGCTTGGTCTTCATTTCCATAGTTATAGGAAGATCCAATATTGATTAGCTGACAGAAGGGTAAACAGAGAAGATACAAGATTAAAAGCAGCAATACAATACATATTATAGGATCAAACGTAAAGGTCACCTGGCCCACTATCTGGTCTCTTCAGGATACCTTTAATGTTTGCAATAAATAACACACCCCCCCCCCAAAAGTGCCCCAAATCATGTATACAAATACTTTAAAAAATCATTTTCTTAAGAGAAGCCTTGACGTCTACAAAGCCTCCATATGATGGTTCCCTGAAATATATGTACAGAGTGAGTATCCCTTATCCAAAATACATGGGACAAAATATGCCCCATATTTCAAATTTTTATTTCTTTTTGGAATACTTGCCTATACATAGCGAGATAGGTTGGAAATGTGACATAAGTCTGAAATGAAATTTGTTTATATTTCATATAAAGCTGATGCGCATAGGTATACAATAGTTTGAAAATTTTTGTACATGAAGCAATTTTTCTGTACATTAAACCATCAGAAAGCAAGAATGTCACTACCTCAGCCACCCATGTGAACAGTTTTGGATTTTTGAGTTCTGGATATAGGATGTTCAACCTGTATTTAAACACTGAATCTGAAATATTAATCCCACTTTATTGATAGGAAGAGATTATGGTACAAAACAATCTTAAACCTAACAATCTGAATAGAGGTCCTTGTCAAACACCATAGCAAGCTCAACTTGATTGTGAAGTGGTAACAGAACTACCTAAACCACATTTCCACATTGGGCAAAATGTAGTAGGATAACTTTTCATTTTCTAATTTGGGATGTGAGAGGATTCAAAACAAAGGGTTCTTTCTCACATTACCATTACACTTTAAAATATCGCATTTTAAAAAACTGTACATTGTCTAGTGGGCGTTTAAAATGGTTTAAACAAAGTCAATAAAATGAAAAATCAAATAAAATGGGCCCCAGATTTGGAACCCTAAATGATAAGCTAGTTCAGCAGCCAGACTTCTCCACAGAGACAAGGCAGCTAGCTACAGTTTATGTTTTATTAGAAACCCATATTCTCTAGTTTCTAAAAAGGCAGAAAGGAAAATACACAATACCTTCATGGTGGACATACAATCCCTTTCCTGACAATAGTAAATAACAACAGTGACAGACAAGCCATGAATAATGCCCAACTGTACCATTCTTCTAGATATGAAAACTATGATTAGAATGGAATACCTGTTCAAATTTCCATCCATCAGACATAGTGGACACCATCTGAGTGAGCTCTTCCTCTTGGCACTGCAGGACTCTGTATACGTGCTTGACAGGTCCCTGAAATCCAAACATAATACCCATCAACATGCCAGAAGTTTCGGTTTTGACTTTGTTAAGTATGTTAAAAGGAAATGCATCTATGGCTTACACAAGCATCTATGGCATACACAATCTCACATTATTGCTTAGCCTCAACGTTTTGTCATTGGAGTATATGTGTGTGTCTCCCCCTCATGGGAAAGTTTGATTTCACAACTCCTGCTACAATGAGCCCTCCTCTGCAAATAATATGCTTCTCTTTTATCTCGCCCGAGTTTTTTATTAGTTTTTAATTAGTTTTGCTTTTAATCATTACATGTAGCTCGCCCATTATCATTGTGTTTGTGCTTATTGTAATTTTATATTGTTATGTATTCACATGTTTTATGTAATTATGATGTAGCTGTTTATTGTTCGCGTTTTCGGTTTGCGTCTTTGGTTTTACTCTGTTGTAATTTGTTGTTTGTGCTTGGCCTCATGTACGCCGCTCCGAGTCCCCATCGAGGAGATGGTGGTGGGGTATAAATAAAGGTTATTATGTATTGTTGAAGGCTTTCATGGCTGGAATCACTAGGTTCTTGTGGGTTTTTTTGGGCTATAGAGCCATGTTCTAGAGGCATTTCTCCTGACGTTTCACCTGCATCTATGGCAAGCATCCTCAGAGGTTGTGAGGTTTGTTGGAAGTAGGAAAAATGGGTTTATATATCTGTGGAATGGCTGGGGTGGGGCAAGGAGCTCTTCCCTGCTGCAGTTAGGTGTGAATGTTTAGCTGATCACCTTCATTAGCATTTGAAGGCCTGCCTGAGCCTGGGGAAATCTGTTGCTGGGAGGTGTTAATCTGTGTCTGGTTTTTTCCTCTCTGTTGTTTAGCTGTTATTATTATTATTATTAAAGGTTATTATTATTATTATTATTATTATTATTATTATTATTATTATCAAGAAAGTGAATGTAGACTCATAAGATGTCTGTGAACTTCTAAGAAAAATTGTAAATGGGCACTTCTAGCCAGCTGCTCATGACAAGGGTGAAGACATGTGGCAAGCATCTGAAACAACATTTATCCTGTTATAAATTTGACCAGCACTAGTTTTTGAGGAGAGGAGTCTCCACTGACTTGGGGAGAACTTGAGAGAAGAACGCAAAAGCTGGTTTGCCCTTCTTTTTCCTGGTTTATTTTTATAGACAACACCACCATCAAATGCTGTACTTGCTCGTTGTGCCAATTACAGAAGCAGAGAAAACACCTCTCCCTTCTCCCATACTGCCAAGTAAGAGATACTATGGAAAGGAAGGCATCTGCAACAACAAGTAATGACTGGCCAAGGCAATATTTGTGATTCTGGCCACAGACTTCTGACTTTTGCTTTCTTACTTGAGAAGTTCTGCTTTCATTGTCCCGTATTCGCTCCTTCACCAGCCGCACGAGAGATGCAATGTTATAAAATTCAGCTTCTTCTAACACACCTAGGAATGGGAATGGAACATATTTTTATTATTTCTTTTAGAATAATGAATATAATATTTAAGATGAAGTATTATGTATTTAGCCCCTTCCAAATTATTTCTAAAAACTAAATAAAAGAGACTCCAATGTACAACCAAGTGTTGTATCTGATCATTGCAATTCATGTTTTTAGTAGTGATTCTCAATCTTTTTATGGGATTGAATAATGTATATCTGCTTGGTGTTATGGAAAATTAGATGAAAATAAATATATAGCTCAATTTTTTATTGTTTTCTGCTTGCTTCTACTAATGTGGCAAAATGAAAAAGGTTCCTTAGGTTCAAGAAGTAATAACTGTATTTGTAGCAAAAATATTTGTTTTATAAAGAGAAATTTATTTGTAACTACTGTTGTCAAAACTGTACTACTGACATAAGAAACACGATGTAATGCCAAATAAAATTTAATCATAGTATGTATATATTTTATATTTCTAAAACAATAAAATGGTTGCCAATCTGTAAAAGACACTACTATAATTACATTTTTACATTTTTGCCAAACCCCCCCCCCTTTTAAGGTTTCATAATTTACAGAAATTCTACATCTCTAAATATGGCAATATACATAGACTTATATTTTAACATAGTAACTGATTTACTGTAATCTTTGTTATAGATTTTATTTCATATATGAGTGCTCTAAACTCTTTTTAAAAACATTATACATCATAAAACAGTGTCTCATTTATATATATTTCAACTAGATATTTACAGCCTTTAATGCATTAATGATACCTCTAGTATTCAAAGATAATAGAGTACTTTATAAATTTGTCAAAATCAGAACAAAAACTGTAATTCTATTTTCTTACCTTCTTCTGCCAATTCTTTGTTTATTATGAGTTTTCCATGCCGGAGGTAGTTCAGAATTGGACCAAAATATGTGGGATCCCTATCAATGAGATATGCCCCCGTTTCATCCTGTTGGAAATATAACAGTGTTAGAGTCTGATGCTGAAAAGGAAATTCAGTGGAGTGAAGATACTTTCCTGTAGGAGCTAATGACATAAAATGAGAGTTGGATTCTCAGTAGATAAAGCTTTGATCTCATTAAAAGAAATAGACTCCACTTAACTAACTAACTCTTATCCTGAATCCTCCATAATGTTGGATTTAAAATGTTGTTGTTATAACGCTTAGTCTGAGCAAAAAAGACATGAAAGCGTGACAGTGAGTGGGAAGAAAAAAGGGCTTGCTGGATTCCAAGGTCCTGTGTCACCATGTAGGAGGAAGCCTGTATTGCTGTATAGATGCCATCATGATGCAACTAAAAAGATAGGCCTCCACCTCTATAATAGCATTACACCCAGATATATGATCATATGCTTATTTACTAGTAGACCAAAACAGCAGTAGCAGTCTCATCCAATCTGTGTATTTTCACCAAATTTTGACAACAATATGAAAGGCAATAAAAATGAAGGAATTGTCCACCCAGGTTTTAGGCCTCTTACGTGGCAAGTAAATATAATTCTACATGGTAAGGAACATAACAGAATATTACAATAAACAACGCTTTTAAAGTACACAAACAATGTCGGGCCATACATTCCTTTTGCCACCAGCTTAAATGCATTTTTATAAAAATCACTAAAGATGTAGTTCTACACACTTTTACATGGAGGTAAATCCAACTGAACTCAATGAGATTTACTTGTGAGCAGAAGTGTATAGGACCACACTATACAAAAACCATAGTGAAGGAAAACTGATCAAATATTTCCCCAATTATATATTCATGCCTTCTATCAAGCAGTATTTTAAAACACCTTATTTTCAAATTAAAATTCTGTTCTACAAACATTTTCTGGATGCTTACAATCCTCCATTACATCAACAATTATTTGTTGAAAGCCAGCACTCTGTTTAAGTACACTTTAATGTATCACACATTTTTTCAAGCAATGAAGATGGGAGTTAGACAAAATGCCATATATTATATTGATTTTCTAAAATGCAATCTTTATTTCGCTAATGCACAGCTATACTGGAGATCAGGGATGTCCAACCTTAGAGTGGCTGGACAAGCGCCAGTTAGTACTGGCAGGAATGATCAAAGCTCCAGTTTAACAACAGTGAAAGAGTTCTCCAATCTCACTAGAGACAAGGTTAGGTTTTAGAATTTAGAATCTAGTTTGTCCTTAGAGTTAGTGAAAAACAAATATCTTGGATGGAGAGAATATAAAACCCAACAGCCACACAGAACAGAACAGGATCATATGCAGTCTGCTTTAAAGTCTTTCCACTCAAACAATATCAAAAAAGAGAATGACATGAAGCAGCAGTTATGATAAATCACAACTGCAGACAGCTTTGTGGTATTAAGTGCTTTCACTGGAAGTTTATGAAAAGGCAAACATCAAGGTTGTGACAGGAAATTTGAACTGGTGTTTTTCCTTCCTATAATAATGGAAAGGGGTGGAATGGGTTGATTGACTGGAGGGGGAAAAGAACATTGACTCAAAAACAATACTGGGAAGGACAGAATATGACCACCTCCAAATGGAGTGAGGGGAGTTTAATCTAATAAAATCCTAAGGTTCACACTTGATTTATGGCAAATTACTACTGTATTAATCAATGATAAAAATACCACAATTTTGCCAGCCATGTGCACTTGAAAATCCCCCAATTTCTCCTACTTCATACTAATTAAAATGATTATATACTTATGGAAGGCCTACCAAGTAGAAGAACATAACACTTGGTAATAGTTGCTTGTAATCTATTCATTTGTCCAAGAAAAAAAAGAGTTAAATACACAACATGAAAAATTAAAACACAGTGCTTTGTGACCAAGTGTTGGGGGATTCAATTTTTAAAGAAAAAAGGGATACATAACCCTCATGCTCCCTATATAGCCTAGTTCTAGGCTGGATGATAAGTATATGTTGGTCTAATAGGAAATCTCCAGGTGATTTTCAGTAAAATAGGAAAGATTTCCGACACTTTAACAAGCATTATTCAAAGGTTTTTCTCTCCAAATATTGTCATTAAAATCAAACAGAACCGGACAGAGAAGAAATGTATGAGGGAAATGATTTGTTTACAAACTCTAAGGCTATAAATTGTTTGTTTGAGTAGGTGTGCAATGGCTTCTTCTACTATAAGGTTGACCCTGACTTTTTAGTAACACCCTCACTTGGGCTACAAGCCTGAGTAGTGGGAACTTATTTAATTATTGGGATGCACCATGTACAGAGATGGTGCTAAATATTGGGATTCAACACCACACTGCCCAAGTCTCCAGTCCTCAATGAGAAACAAGTTAGTTAGCTTAGAATAAACTGTGGGAATCCCTCCTCCCGTATGACAGTTGGAATGTATCTATTTCTTCTCCCCTCTCTGTTTCTGCTTTCATTCTGATTGGTTGTGTAGAATGGATGTGTTTCTACTGCAAGCCTTTACTTCTGAGATTTTACTTTTACATCTGAGTGTGTGCAGTATGTATTCAGATGTCTCTCTCTGCGCGTGTGTTAGGAGAGATGTAGTGAATGTTATTTTTCCCTCTCTTTGAACCTTAGAAGAGACGGGTGTTAGAGTAGCTCAGACCCAGTTCTTTAACTATGAAGAAATGTACTTGCTTTTATTATTGTAAATAAACCTTTTGCGATTTTCAATATTGGACTCTGTATCTTTGCTTGTCTAAGCTCTAAATTCTTTACAGCCACATCACAGGGCACTTCACGCTCTACTTGCTGTGAACTATTGCTCAACTTTTAATACCTATTTGTATTTTGGACGCTGTGCTTATTTTTGGGTTGTTTTCCCTAACAAATACATCCGGTTCCCCATATCCACTGATTTTACTATCCAGGGCTTCCAAATAATAATTTTTTTAAAACCCAGAAATAAAACCTTGATTCTGCCACTGGGTATAAGAGATGCCGACTTACTGTGCCACTGTATATAATGAGACTTAAGCACCCGGGGATTTTGGCGTCTAGCTCAGGCTGGGGCCAACTTCGGCCCTCCAGGAATTAAAGACCAAAACACCTGGAGGGCCGAAGTTGGCTCCTGCCTGACCTGGGGCCCACTATAGAGACCTTTCCTCCTGTCAGGAGGCGCGAGGAGGAGGCGAGGCTCTTCCCGGCGCCCCTCACCTTGTCGGAGCCGAGCTCGGGCCCCTCCTGGCAGCAGAGGCGGCAGAGGAAGGACTTGGGCTCGCGGCACAGCGTCTGCCGGGTGCTCACGAAGTACGTGCCGCCCACGTTCAGCCGGACCCACTTGGAGCCCCCGCCTGGGCCTGGGCCTCCTCCCGGCGCGGCCTCCGAGGCGGTGGCGGGGGCGGGCGGGCGAGGGCTGGGGGGCCCCGGGAGCGGGCTGGGCGTGCGGCCCCGGCCTGGGTTGCCCTCCCCGGCTGCCGTCAGCTCCGCCATTCTCGGCCGCAGCTCCTCTTCTTCCTCCTCCTCCTCGTCTTCTCTCGGGCGTCCCGGCGGCCCGTCTCAACGGCCGGGGCGGAGGGAGCGGAGCGGAGCGCGGCGGGACTCGGCCGCCATTGCCCTGGTCCCTGCTGACGGGGAGAGCCAGCCGCACTTCCGGGGGCGGGGAAGCACTTCCGGGGCGCCAACCGCCTTCCCCTTGGCACTCTGGGCCTGGCCGCGACGAGACCTCCGGACACTGAGGGGGGACCCCGCGAAATATAACATCATCCTCCTCCTCCTCATTATTATTATTCAAACGCCTGAATAAGAATTCGGCCATAAAGTTCTGGAAAGGCCCGCATAAAACTATCGGGAGAACAATCGCAAATGCCGTTCTCATCTAAATCGAACCATAGACTCAAAAGGGTAGAGACATGCAGCCTCTTGAAAGGAGACGGGACTTCGTGGTTACTTTAAGCCCAGGCCTCCTCAAACGGCGGTCCTCCATCGGCCTGGGCCCCCCAAATTCCAGAAACCCTTTCCAGCTTGTTCAATGGTCAGGAGGACCAAACAATCACAAGGCCGCAGTTTGGACGCCTGCAGTCGGTTGTCATGCTTTCCTGTTAGAAAAGGGATTATATCGCTGTGTAGACTCATATAATCCCGTTCAAAGCAGATAATTTTACCTCACACATTTTGTCCGCCCTCCGTGTCTGGTTTTAATATGCTGTTTTATATTGTTGATTTTGTTATTTTATATTTTGTTATGATGTATTTTGTTACTGTGTGTTTATTATGTTGTATTATTTTGGACTTGGCCTCATGTTAGCCGCACCAAGTCCCCTTTGGGGAAATGGTAGCGGGTTATAAATAAAGTGTATTAATAATAATAATAATAATAATAATAATGTGTATTATCTGATTTGATAACTGGATTATATGGCAGTGTAGAAGGGGCCTTGGGACTCATGAACTGCATTACATGAGTACACTGACCATACAATGTTTCAAATAGCTTTATTATTTATTTATTTACAACATTTATATGCCGCTCTTCTCACCCCAAAGGGAACTTAGAATGGCTTACAAATAATATGTAAATACAATATATTATATTATTACCATAGCACAATATCAGCATTATATATTACTATATTATACTATGCAATTATACTGTGATATTATTAGTAATATTACATGTCACATAAAATATATAATTATAATATAGTATTATTACGATTATATTGTACTACGTTATAATATCAATATTATATGTATATACAAATTATTATTATTATAGTATTAGCACATTGCAGGAAACAAGGTGGGACTGTCTGCCTGGCCCCTCTCTTCACTCTGGTCCCTATATCATATGGCAATATAGCTGGGGCCAAAGTGTAACAAACACGAATCCAGCAAATGCAATTGAGAGTAGAGTTTGTCTTCCCCAGAAAAAGGAAAAAGTCACCCCTGTTATTGTGTGCCTTGTGTGTGTCATTTCCAACTTCTGATGACCACAAAGACAACGATCAAAATTTTCCTTGGCAAGATTTGTTCAGAATGGGGTTGCCATTGCCGTCTACTGAAGCTGAGAGAGTGTGCCTTCCCCAAGGTCATCCACTGGGTTTCCATGACTAAACACCAAAGGGAAAATACAAAATGTACCATTCTGTTTTGTTAGAATCCCTGCCACTGAGAAATGAGGAAAAGTGGTGTATTAAAACGTCAGTTGAGCCAGGCACAATGGTTTACAACAGGGCTGAGGAATAGGCAGCTCTCCAGATGCTGCCAGACTGAAATTCCCATCATCATTTGCAAAACTTCCATTGCCTGTAATGAAATGGTCGTTAGGAAACTGCACCCCAGTAAAATCTGTAGGATTGCATGGTTCCCATTCTTGACAAATTATGTGTTATAATCTAACACCATTCATTTTCCATGCATAATCAGTTCCCGAGTTACAAACATCAAACTTAGAAATGGCTCATCGTTAAGAACGGAGGTGAGACCAGAGGAAGTGAGATAAATCTACCCCTCGGAAGGGAAATTCACTCCTGAAAGAGTTATCATGGGGAAAAGGTGTCTCAGATGAAGCTTTATCACTCGGACTTGTTTCCACAACAAGCCATTTTTTCAAAATCCAATCATCACAGGGACTGAAAGTGAGGTGAAATCTTCTGAACAGGGGCCCAGGCAGCAAAACAAACACCACAGGGGTGCTCACCCTTCCCTATACTACTCAAATATATACAGACACATATATGTGGCTGGAGTTACACTTAAAAATGTACCTGTTCCAACTTGCATACAAATCCAACTTGAGAACAAACCTACAGAACCTATCTTGTGTTTTCGAAGGCTTTCATGGCCAAAATCACTGGGTTGCTGTCAGTTTTTCGGGTAGTATGACTATGTTCCAGTTTGTTCCTGGAACATGGCCATACAGCCCAAAAAACTCACAGCAATCCAGAACGTATTTTGTTTGTAACTGCCTGTGCTGCCATGGAGATGTGTGTCAACGGCATTGATGAATGTCACCGGGGAGGAGGAAGCCACTCCTTTTCGCGCATTCTTCTCCGTGCTGTGGAATCCCGGGAGCTGCAATATGGTGAAGGCTGAAGGCCTTGTGAAACTACAAATCCCAGAATTCCGCTTCCCTTTTGACACAGGTTTGCTTTGCACTCTGTCATTCTCTCCCGACTTTAAGGGCTGCTCTAGTCTATTGCTCTCTCTGTCTTTGCTCCCGCGGAGCACTTCCGGTCCTCTGAGCGCTGATTGGCTGCTGTCGGCCTCCGTTTCCGGGATCGTACTTCCGGCGGGCCTTGGGTCGTGGAGCGAAGGGTTGCTGAAGGTGAGTGGAGGCCGGCTGGTTGCAGGCGACGCGGGGTGTCTTCTTCCAAAGGGGTTCCCACTGGGCTGAGCTGCGCCTTGGCCTCCTTTTGCATTACACAGGGGTTTCTTAGGATGCATCTACACTGTAGAATTAAGGCTGTTTGCCACCACTTTGACTTCCATGGGTCAGTGCTATGGAATCAGAGGAATTGTACTTTTACAAAGCCTATCGCCTTCTGGGTTGTTGTAGGTTTTTCGGGTTGTATGGCCATGTTCTAGAAGCATTCTCTCCTGACATTTCGCCTGCATCTGTGGCATGATCCTCTGAGGTTGCGAACCTCACAACCTTGTAAGGATGCTTGCCACAGTTGTAGGCGAAACGTCAGGAGAGAATGCTTCTAGAACATGGCCATACAACCTGAAAAACCTGCAACAACCCAGTGACAATATATATTGCGTTCTCTGTCAAAGACGGCTGGTGCCCCACCAAACTACAACTCCCAGGATTCCATAACATTCAGCCATGGCAGCAAAAGTGGTGTCAAACGGAACTAATTCTGCATTGTAGATGCACCTGTAGGTATCGATGTCCCAATAAGAGCTATTTTAATGTCCTTTTTAGAGGTACAGTAGAGTCTCACTTATCCAACATAAACGTTGGATAAGTGAAAATGTTGGATAATAAGGAAATTAAGGGAAAACCTATTAAATGTCAATTTGTGTTATGATTTTACAAATTAAGCACCAAAACATCATGTTTTTACAACAAATTGACAGAAAATAATAATATAATAATAAAACTTTATTTTACTGCCCTGTCTCCCCAAGGGGACTCAGAGCGGTTTCCGCATATGCAAAATGATACAAAAACATACAATATAAAACAAAAACATAGGCATAAACTGTTAACACAACACATACATCAAAATCAATTTAAAACCAGTTCTGCTCTTTTCTTTGTGCAACATAAGCTGCCAGGAGCCAAGATTTCAATAAGGAGCCTGGACTATTTGGAATGGGCTGGGCCAAGGCTAGTGCAAGGAGAAGGGAAAATGGGTCTGGCTGAATGCTACAGTGCAAGGATTGATCTCAGCAATTGCCCTACTAGGGGACCAGGCCACTCAATTCCAGGCCCAATTAAAAGACTATAAAAAATGGTCTGGGCTGGAGGAAAAGGTGCCCTCAGATGACAGGGAACTGGGGAATGGATGGGGTACAAGGCCAAGTCCTAACTGTTGGACCAAGGGCTTGAGTCTTGAGACTAGTCATTATTGAAGGCCTGATACACAGTAACATTATGTAGTAATTACTATATTTACGAATTCAGCACCAAAACAATGTATTGAAACAGCTGTGGATCCAGGCAGGAGGCAGACTGTGTTGGAGAAAACAGAATGTTGGATGAGCAAAGGTTGGATAATGAGACTCTACTGTAATACTTTGCCTCTCACAGCTCCTTCAATATTCAAGTAGAGAGTAATGTTTAATAGTATGTAGTGGCTTGCCAACTCTTACCATAAGTGTGTATATTCTCATTGGATATAATAGATTACGTGTCAGGATTGTTTATGATACTGAAATATCTGTAGTGCAACAATTATTTTCCTGTGCAAGGCAATTGGTGTTTCCAGCTCTCTCTCTCTTGCATGCTTTTTTGTATGAAAGAGAGAACATGGTTTAAAGCTCTAGTACAGTGGTTTTCTGTCTCATTTCACTTCAACTCCCAAAAGTCTGAGCTAGTTTGACTGACAGTAAAGAATTCTTGGAGCAGAAGTCAGGGAAGGTTTATAAGGTTTACCTTGCAAGCAGGGCCATAGCCAGAAAAAAAATTCGGGGAGGGTTGAAAATTTCGGGGAGGGGGGTTGAAAATTTCGGGGAGGGTTGAAAATTTCGGGGGTGGGGGTTGAAACCTGCCTCCTAGCTCATGCCAGGCCCGTAGCCAGGATTTCGTTTCGGGGGGGCTGAGTTTGGGGGGGGGGGCTGAGTCTGAGTGAAAGAGGGTCTACCTAGCAAACCTTTTGTATCATTACCCCAATACCCCCATGCATATGGGATATATTGAGTATGGTGATCAGATCATGATATGAATAAACATAACAGTTTAAGTAATGCACCAGTAAGGCCTTTTCGCGAACCACCATGAGAATTTCGGGGGGGGGCTGAAGCCCCCCGAGCCCCCCCCCCCCCCCCGCCTCCTAGCTCACGCTGAAGCAAAGAGCACAGCAGGGGGCAGAGCAACCTTCAATAGCCTGCATCTCCGCCCCTGTCAACCACCTCCACCAAGTCTGGCCTCCTTAATGAGAGCATTCAACACACACACACACACACACAACTTGGTTGCTTCACTACATCGGCTATTGCTGCAAGTAATGACAGTGTGAATAAATTGTCAATATTTGCTTGAGATAGTGCTTATAGTTCTGGAGGGACTCTTAATTTTTTGCATCTCATAGACTTAGCATGGGGATTTGGTTAACCAGTTAAAATTCATGAGTAAACCAGTTTTTTAAAAAAAATCTGAAACATTTCGGGGGGGTTTGAACCCCTAAAACCACCCCCTCGCTACAGGCCTGCTTGCAAGCAAGCACTGGATTGTGGTCATTGGTTGACTTTTTCTTTTGTTTATTCTTACTCTTCCTGCCAATTTGACTTTTTTATCAGCTATGAAAAAACAACCTATGATGTCATCAACTATTTCCTTTCTTTTTGGCCTTTTCTAGGTTGGAACAATGGCTGGCCGCAGAGCTGCTTTGAAAGCAATTGACTGGGCGGCATTTGCTGAGCGAGTGCCTCCCAATCAAAAACCCATGTTCATGGCCCTGAAAACACGCAGTGATGGTCTCTCAGCAAAGTGAGTATTTCCGAGTGAGAAAATGACAGTATGGATAGAAGGACTGTAGAATTAATTTCAGTTTTTCTTAGGTCTAAATCTGTAGTTCCCAAACTTTGGTCCTCTCATTGTCTTGAACTTCCAGAAGCCCCAACAGTTAACTAGCCAACAGTTAGGAATACTGGGAGCTGAAGTCTATAACATCTGGAAACCCAAAGCTGGAGAAACACTGGTTATGCATTCATGTTTTCAAGCATTGTTAGCTGTGTTACCCTATATATTCATGTATAAGTCTAGAAATTTTAGACAGAAAATGAACCCCCCAAATAATCTAGATCACCTAATCCACATATCAATGTAAATACCATATTTTAACTTTTATTTAAAAAAGGAACCATCTTTTTCTCTGAGAAGAGTGGTGAAAGGCAAGGGCTTGGTCCACACAAGGAGAAGGACCTTTACTTTCTCCACTGCATCACTGCTTCTGACCTTTTTGAATGCCAAAGTGTGGAAATGGCAGTGGCTGTCAGGAACAGAGGCACTTTCTCCTCTGCTGAATGGCCCTCGTCTTAATCATTAGTCATATCAAAATCCATAATTTTGGCCCTCAAACCTGCTCTCTGCTTATTCAGGAGGTTGACTTATGAATGAGCCTATTCAGTAATTACTAAAGTATTATTGAACTGAATGAAATGCATGTTGTTGTATTTTACAGTTCAGTTCAATCACTGAACATTTCACTAGATTTTTATGAAACATACTTTAGTGCAGTGCTCCAATTACTGAAGTTTAATTTGTTCTCCAGCATATCTGTGATGCTTTTAGTCTTGAAGGAAGATAAGCTTTTGCTGTGGGCTAAAGTGGGGTTAAAGTCTGATTCAGACATGAGTGAGATCTTTGATGTCACATGCTGGAGGGTTTTTTTTATTTTTTGTAATGACAGGAATTTCTTTGCTCTAAAATACGCAAACTTCGGTCATGTTTTAGCAGAACTATTTCAGTCCATTTAGATAGTAGGCAACGTAAAAATGAGAGCATTGACTCTAGTTAGCATTTATGATCACATTCTTGTAATAATTATGTACAGTTTAGTCTGAATAGTTGATAAAGTTAGCAATTTTAATTATCTTTTCTTTGGTAAGGGACAAGAAACATCTTTTTTTTTTTTTGCAGAAGTATCAATAATCTGGAATGTCCTGTAGTTCTAATGTATTGTTTTCCATTCAAATAGACTTACTTCTTTGCCAGAGGCACCTCCAGCTATTGACTGGGCATTTTACAAGGCTGCAATTGCCAAAGTAGGCATGGTGGATGAATTTGAGAATAAGGTAAACCTGTATTATGATATTTTGTGTGTTTCCGAATTCAAACTGACTGCTCTTTAGATGCCATGCAGTCTGGAGGTCACACTGATTATAATGTTTTTTAGCAGACATGCAGGTATTGTGGTAATATAATTGTGGCTGAGTGGCCATAGCTTCCAGTCTTTAGGCTGTTGGTCTGTTCTCTTGCCCTCAGCACCAGTAAGCCCCTGGCTTAAGAACTGTATGGTGTAGTAACTCCATAAATTTCTCTTAAAGTCTCACACAATAAACTGTAAAGGAAGATGATGCAATAATGATGTGGATATGTATTTATTTATTATGTATTTGTCTCTTTACAAAGAACAAAATACAGAAATTCCTGGTACATGCCACCATTGTAGTCTTTACTTTACTTGTGTGTTTCTCTTTGGTCATGGTTATTCTAACACTTTTTCCTTGTTAATGGGCTCTTTAGGAATCTTTAGTGGTGTTTTTATTTTTTTAAAACATTACAAGTTAAATTTAAAATTTTAATATTTTGGGTTGTTGTAGATCTTTTGGGCTATATGGCTATGTTCTAGAAGCAATCTCTCCTGACGTTTCACCTGCATTTATGGCAAGCAGCCTCAGGATGCTTGCCATAGATGCAGGTGAAACGTCAGGAGAGAATGCTTCTAGAACATGGCCATATAGCCCAAAAAACCTACAACAACCCAGTGATTCCAGCCATGAAGCCTTCGACAATACATTTAATATTTTGCATTGTATTTCTTATGTATACGAGATTACTCTCTAGAAGCAGTTGAGAGTAAATGTTATGATCCCAGATCACAAGTTGTATGATTTAGCTATCATTATGGGCTCCAGGTCATGTGGTTGGTTCTCTTAGTGTGGAACAGAGAAATAAACTTGTAAGGCTTGCATTGAAATAGAGTTGAAGAAATAAGGATAATTAAAAATGTTACGGATTACAATAGAACTGTTGCAATAGAACATACCTAATACTCTTTTTCTTTTTTAATACATTGAATTGGTAGTTATGTGTTCTTAATAGTTGCTTTTTGAAGTCTTTTTTCACAAGTGCTTGTAAGTTAATTCAGCAGAAAAAACTGAATTTTGTTAGACTTTCGGATGTTTTGTGCCATTCTGAGTAGCACGCTCTTATTTGTCTGAGGCCTTGTGTTTTATCACGCTTTCTCAGAGCAGATGGGGAGGAACTGGAAGGGTAGTAACTGCAAAGTCTGTGCTTACAGCTCTCTGTCATAGAGGGGAGATGCCGGCAGGACTGCTTGGAAACAGTTTACTCTAGTATGCAAATGTGATATTGACAGAAAAGGAAACATATTCAAAATCTATTTTTCTCAAATTTCATAGTTTAAAGCCCTCAAAATTCCTGAGCCTGTGGATACCCAGTCAGCAAAGATAGATGCCCAAGAGCAAGAAGCTGTAAGTGGTCTGTTTTTTTGTTCAGTGTCATCTTTGGACTGCTTGAAGATGAGATGTGTATATGATCTGGGGATCATCTGCTTAGTTACTCATAAGCAGATGAAATCAGTAGATGGTCAATGTCTGATCACATTTATGGAAATGGGGTTTGTGGCAAAACTGCCTACAGTAAGGTTCAGCACTGTATAGCAAGTTCCCCAGATCGTATACACATTTCAGAGTTTTTCTGTCAGCTTGGATTGTGACTTTGGTGTTGTCAGTTATAACTACTGTAGTTACAAGCCTCAGATTTTGTGTATTTGGGATTGAAGGCATTATTCACATGTTCACATTTGTAAAGTGTTGTACTGTACACAAAATAGTTCCTACTATGACGTTTTTGAATGGTTGGGCTGTAAAATCTGAGTCATTACATCTAGTTTCTCCAACTATGTTCGTGTCTCAGAATATCACTAAGACAATGCCTGAACAATTTGTTCTCTTTGCAGGCCAAGAGTGCAGCTTCCTATGTACAGGCCTCTAAGGACCGTATTGTTCAATATGAGAAGGAGGTAAGCTGCCAAATTTAATAATACAAAGAGCTTGCTCCAGCATATTTTGGTCTTTCCTAATAATGATTTTTATCATTTCTTTTTTCAAGCTTCAGAAGTTTAAAAACATGATCCCCTTTGATCAGATGACCCTTGATGATTACTTTGAGGCATTTCCTGAAACTAGGTTGGACAAAGAGAAGTATCCATTTTGGCCACACAAGCCTATTGCTGACTTGTAAAGGCTTGCCATCTGGGAGAACTCTTCAGCACCCACCACTTTTCAGGACTGTAATAAATAAAGTAATTGTACTGGAGATCTAGCAACTTGTCTTTCTTCAGACTGTTCGAATTGAATTTTTCACTTTAGATAATGTAGTGGTTTGCATTTTTTACTTGTGTGTAACACCCACTGAATTCTAAATTTCAGCTGAGTATGTTAGAAAACATAAAAAATGCTCACTATAGACAAGCCATTTTAAGCCACGTACTTTGTCTTCTTGCAGAAACATCCCTAGACAAACAGTTCATATCTCAAGGGGAGGTGTTTAGTTGGGCATCTTGGAAATATAGGGAAAGTTTAAGTGCTACTTCAGAAAAAAAAATCTTGTTTCTGTTATTTCCCTCACTTCTGGTCATGGCAGTCCTTGGAGGCAGGTCTCTTACAAAAAAGGTACTTTGTGATCTGGCTCCTATGGACAGTTCTTTGAAAATTTTGATCAGTATCCAATTATGATTTCAAAGGTTAGAAGTAGTTGTCTGGCACCTGATAGTGGTGATCTTTAAGCACACAACTTACAGCAAGTTCCTATTCACATGTGACTATAGTGTTCTGGGCAGCTGTACTCTGAATGTATTTCAAAGGCAGTCCCACAGAAGATCATGTTTCTCAAAGTGGCAGTGCATGGCTTGGTACTGTTCTGGGAACCATCAGTTATTGGTCTATGAAATTTCTAGGACACTATAGCAAATACAACAATATGCAATAAATAAAGTATCAGTCCTTGGCACTTTGGGAGAAAAAGGGTTGGTCCATCACATCAATCCACCCTAACCAAAACAGGATGTATCTTAGTTTTAATGAGACTAGTAGCCATTAACAGCTTTTCTATATCTAAATTGAAATTCAACTTTAGTCCTTATTCAATCTGATGTATTGTACATTCAAGAAATATTTTCCACATTGCCATATATGTCAATGTATATTATATTCACAATAGGTTCTATGGCAGAACTGGATTGCCTTGCAGTCACCACTTTTAGAACACATAGTGTTCTCCTGGCTATACAATATTATCCACATTAACAACCGCATTGAGTCGCCTGTTAAGGGCTGAAAAATGCGGTATAGAAATAAAGCAAATAATAATAATAATAATAATAATAACAACCTCATCAGACAGGTGGTTTTCCCTGTCTCTATGTGCTGCTGGCATGCTGCTGGGACGGAGTCCTCCAGAGCCCATCAAATGATGCAGGGCTACTTCTGGCGGGGCTCTGTGCCAGCAGTGTGCTGCCAGTGCAGAGAGACGGAGCCCTGAGAAGTCAGGTAACTACCCAACCCACCATAGAAGAAACTAGGGACAGCACGAAAGGAAGCTATGGGCAATGGGGAAATGTGGGATTGCAGTCCATGATGGTAAGGGGATGAAGTGGAATGCTGCTCCACAGATTCCCCTGCTGTCTCCTGGCTTCTGGACCTACATGTGATGAGGTGCATATATTGCAGTATCTTCTACTAGGCCAGCCAAAAAGACAAACTATTGTACTCTTTTTCAAAGATCACACATTTATACGGGCAAAAATGGTAAGTAGAAGGGTGGGAACACAAATGAGTATTAGTCTATGTGTTTCTCTGAGATGGAATGGGGTGTGTACACTAGTGTAGCTCATTAGGAACAAAGTGGAATTTCTTGTGTCTTTTTGTAAGTGCAGAGTTGGCTCCCATAACTTTTTTACAGGACCTGTATCCTTCCTAAAATGCAATTAAATATTCTTTTAAAAAAACCAAAATATGAAGGCTTCTGTAATTTGAAATCTAAATTGCGGTAATGAACATTTCACCAGTAATTGCTTAAAGCACTCTGTTCACTCTTGGGACTATCTTTTCAAATTTCTGGTAATATGAGTAACAACCACAAGGGTATGATCTGACCAAACGTATTAGAGGTTTCAAGAATTATGTGGTCCCAAAGAAAAAAAATTACGGATGGAGTCTGGCTCACTTTATATTAAACCTATCTGTTCTCTTAAAAGCAATATTTCTACAGCCGAGACATGTAGGTTGATGTTCTCCTTGCTTGCCTCTCAGAATCAAAGTGCTTTCTCTGTTGAATATGAAACGTGCAGTTAGAGTTTTCTTTTCTTTTTGTCCTCAAGAAAGTGTGTGTAGCCCTAGTCTGGTTTGAGACTGTGGTGTATGGGTGGAGGGCAGTTAAACATCTCTTCCCAGTTTTATTTTAAAAATAACATAACCTTGCATGAAAATTAGAAAGGAAACATGTTCTAGCCACCTGTATATATTCCCTTTAGATCCACTTCTTCATTGTATCCTTATTCACCCGAGGAAGTATTATTATTTTGGAGAACTTGATGTCCACTTCATTGCCCTTAAGAGAAGTCTGCTTTACAGCAAGAAAGACTCTACTTCTGTGACAGATGTAAAATCACTGTATTAATAACAGTTTTTTGTTCCTTGTATATCGCTCAATGCTGTATTATATAAGTTGGTTATACGTTTAATATTGTATCATATAAGCTGCAAAAAAACATTTACCTTTGTGATTTATGTACTACAACTTGTAGTGGATTTGTGTTTGTTAGGTTTATCATAACTCAGCTTCAACCAACATAAGGATATAAGAGAATTACTCCTGTCTCTACTAGAGATAATCGCAAATGAAGTAGGGAAGACTCATAAAGGATAATTGCTGTATAGGGTGTTTTGGATGACCCTCCCAGTTTTTGGACATCTTCTGTGCTTTGAGGTCATTTGCAACCTATGGTGACCTTAAGGCTATCCTAGCACAGAGGTTTCTTGGTTTTTTTTCAGAGTGGGCTCTTCTTTTTCTTCCTTTGAAGGTGAGACAGCTTGATTTGCCCAAGGACATGCGGTGGGTTTCCATGGCTGAGTCCTACCCTGATTTCCAAATATCTTTTTCCAAAACCCAAACTGCTTGCTATCTTTGAGGCTTCCAGCCATAATAATATTAAGAAGGAGAGTATACACAATACACATTTCCTCCAGAGTGAGGCAGATTAATATTTATAAGCATTTATAATTTAGTAGAGTTATAATTTGATATATATCTCTCTCTACATTTTGAGCTGGAACCTCAGACCAAACGGCATTTCTACCACCTTGCCCTACCTTCAGCATGAATAAAAAAAGCCCTTCTGTGTCAGGCGGATAAGTGGACAGGAAGTAGCAGATGACACAAGTGCCACACACTGTTAAAGAAATATTACAGTAACCAGCTCGATTAAATATATAGATCTATAAAAAATTGTGGAAGCGGCCATGTAGAAAATATATTCAGAATTATTTGGATCCTGTTGTAGAATTTGGATTTACATAAAGATTCCCCCTGCCCCATCCCAAAAAGACACCACCAAAATTTTCCAATTAGATCAAAATCTATCCAAAATGAAACAAGCATGCAAGACAACTTAATCTTCTACCAGGTAAGGAAAAAGATCCAACACTTTAATAAAGACATACCAACACATAGAGTTTATTTATGGTTTGGTCTCGGCTTTCTCAATCAATCCCATCCCTCAGATCATAGACTCACTCTTTGTTAATCCAAACATTTCTTTAATGTTGCTCCAAATGTACAGGGTTGGATCAATGCTCTCAAGGTATGACATTCCTTTGTCTTTCTATTCCTCAGTGATTTAATCTCTTCTCCTGGATGTTAAAGCAGATGTACCAGGAATTAAGGGCAGGCCCCTGAAAGGGATTGCATCAGAGGAGGGCATTGCTGAACATCAGGAGGATGCAGTTTTCAAAAGCAGACTTCGGTTCTGAACTTCTGAATCCAGTCCATTATTTTCAACACATTCCAAATTTCAGCATTATATCTAATCAATACTAAATCTCTTGTCATAAATATTTTAATTGCAGTGTCAGCTAGATTAATTTCACAGAGTTTTGGGAGGCTTTCCATAAGGTAATTTTCTCAGTGCAATTGCTGTGTAATTGGACTAGATCAATTCCCTGGGCTTGTTCGACAGGCAGAAATTGCATATGGCAAGCTTTTCCTACTGCTTGTAGATATGACTGCTGTTGGGATGTGGTTTCCATTCAGAAGCCTGACAGATGTCCCTTTTACCTATACTAATGTGTATCTGAGCATATTTATTTTTGATATGGGAGATTTATCTCTCCTGTTTGTTCACTATAAAATACAAAACTCCCTTCAACCTTACAATGGAGACCAAATGCAGAACACAAATCTCCAAGGATTAGATCATACCAGGATGCTGTTTCTTTGATTCAGATCAGCTTCTTCTTCCACAATTTGAACTCTAGATTGTTCACAGTTCTTGCTGTTGCTGCATGCCTTCAAGTTATTTCTAACTTATGGCAAACCTAAGCTAAACCTGTCATGCTGTATTCTTGGCAGGTTTTATTCAGAGGCTATATGGCATTGACATCCTCAAAGGCCAAGAGAGTGTGACTTGCCTGAAGTCACCCAGTGGGTTTTTATTGCCATGTGTGGATCCAAACCCTGGAGTCCTACTACGGTGCTTAAACCTCTCTCTTAGTTCATAGTAAGACTATCAAAATGTAGAAATAAACACATAGGAATAATATTAAAAGCACAATAGAATTGAAAGCAGCAATAAAGGAAGCAGAGGACCAACCCAAAATATAGAGCTTGAAGAAGTTAGTGCTTGAAATATGCATCCTTTATGGTCAACATTTTTCTAATATTACACCACTAAGCTGTATTTCTGGCATTGCAGAGGGATTGGCTGGTGACTGCTGGAAGATCACTTTTATATTTTTATTTATTTATATTTCAAATTTATATGCCGCCACTCCCCTAGGGCTCGGAGCGGCTTACAAGAACAAACTAAAATCTAACACAAATTAAACAACATATCAAAGATCAAAAACCTGTTGAAACAAATATGTCTTACAAGCCCTGCGGAAAGCTGATAAATCCTGCAAGGCACGGACTTCTGGTGGCAGAGTGTTCCATAACGATGGTGCCACTACTATGAAGGCTCTGCATCTGGTTGCTGTTAGACGCAAGGTTTTAAAACTGGGGACTTCCAATAAATCTTGGTCCTCAGAGCGGAGGGATCT